AAAATTCTTGCTAACTTACATACCAAGCTGTATTACTTGCATTTCCTTGAAAAAATGAGCCGAATCTATTTTGTACAGGAAAGCTAAAGTTTATCCCTTCTGTCGATAAAAGAACGACAGGAGTAAAACACTTTAGAATTATTAAGATTTTTATAAACAGCGAGTGCCACAAGCACATCATATATGTTCAATGCGAAGCGAATTGCGTGATTTTTCAGCCATACAGCAGGCGCAACATTGATAGACGCCCGTGGAATTTATTAGACTTGCTAAAAGTCGACTCGCACGTAACGCATTGCAACTCGTCTCGTACTGAGTAAAATGCTTGAGCTAAATAAAACGAACGGGGCCCCCATTGCCAAAATCCGCACTTTAAGAAATTTGAGCTCAATCTCGCAGCTAAATAAGATAAGTTGTCATTTGCAGCAAGTCTAGGAATTTATGTTATCAGTTCTTTTATATTCAATAATATTTCAACAGCACTTTATTAACCCAAGCTTCTGTGTGCTTCTACAAAATCTTCATACTTACGCCTTCGTTCAAAAATGTCTTAAATGTTTCTGAACAGGAACCCTGAAAGAAAACTCAAGAATTAGATTTCGTCTGTGGTTGTTGTTGTTGTTTGCATATCATCGTTGTTTCTTTCTTGTCTGTGTGTTGCTTGTTGTCTGTTTATTTTTATTTACTTGTTGCTTTGTCTCCTGCTAGTTGTTGTTGTTTCTTGTAATTCCTTGCTGTTGTTGTGGTTTGACATTTGTTGTCGTTGTCGTTGTCGTTGTCGCTGTTGTTGTTGTTGTTGTTGTTGCTGTTGCTGTTGCTGTTGTTGTTGTTGTTGTTGTTGTTGTTGTTGCTGTTGTTGTTGCTGTTGTTGCTGTTGTTGTTGTTGTTTCTTATCAATACCCTAACCTTATGTGCAGTGCCAGTTCGTGGGTCAATGAAATATTTTTCAAGTTTGCCACTAGAATTTTTTATCGTGAACTGCATACATCTTTTCCACAGTCGTCCAGTCTAACAAAAAAGGTATTTCTTTGAATATTGGTTATTGTTACCCAAACGAAACGACATCTATTACTCAAAGTATATTGTTACGAAATAATATTACTATATAAATAATGTAGTTTTAAAGATAAAAAATCAGACAGCTAAATTGATATGTCAATCTTCTAACGGCGTTTTAGAGAACTTTGCTGCATTGACGTTACACTGAAGAGGGCACTTATGCGCTAAAGGGTGGCACCACTGAATGTGCTAATCCGCCCCTAGCCAATCTACAAATCCCCGCAAATTTGATTGCCTCAAAGTTCCACGGTTATCGGTTCAATATACACAATACCCCCCACCGTCTCAATGGATTTATTGACACGTTTCAATGCTCAATAGCAGGGTCAGGCTAAATTTAACCTGAGATCAGGCTCTATTTTACAAATAATAGCCCGACACAATCCTTAATCCGATCGCTTTCCACCCACAGCAAAGTTTATATTTAGTATCCAATCAAAATGTCGCAGGAGAAATGTAAATTTCACCCAACGACAACAACAATCTAATTATAGTCGTGATCGCAGGTTAGGCTAAATTATAAAAGGTTACACTTGACAGTGAGATAAAAGCACTGATAACTTTGTGGCCCCCAAATTCCTAAATATGCATACCACAAAATTACTATCGAATATTACATCTATATTAACCAATATTACATGGGTTTACAGGGTTTGTATCATGCCTATTTGTGCGCGTAAATTATGTTAAATGCTGGGAATGAGTTGCGCAGAAATTTGTAAACTCGCGCTTCTTGAAATATTGCGTTTTCGTATAAATGCGGCAAATCCGCTATCAGAGGTAGTTTACTACAACGAAACTGTAAAATATTGAAGTGCTATACAAACAAGCGTTATAAAGGATTGAATCGCTTTTTCAAGCACCGATTAGGCAGTACATAATGAAAAGTTTCTTTTGCAAGTTCATATTTTAGATTAAATAGTTAGCCTTCATGTGCACAAATGACCGATTAAAAAAAACTAACCTTGTTTCTTTGTGGTAAACCAGAAGCTAGTGTGCTCAAACAAGCTGAAAAGATCAGAATTTTCCACAGAAAGTTTGAAGACATGATTTTCTTAAGTTTGTTCCAAGCACGTTTGACCTGCTTCCTTCAGTGTCTTCAACCGTAATGATAAAATGAGCCTAAGTTTCTAACTTTAAGCTCATTTATCACATGCTGAGTAACACCATAGTATATGTGGCGCCAATCTGACTTGTCATCACTCTTTTGTCCGCTTTACAATACAACAACTTAAAAATAGGAAGAAATAGACAACAGGACTGACCTCGCACATTAAGTTCATTCATTCAACACTAAGGAAGAATAATAATTGAAGCCCATTCTCTTACTTGTTTTCCAGTCCAAATGACAAACTATTTATTTTGATACTTGAATTCGCATTATTTAATAGACAAAAACAACTGCGAGCTGGCTTTGCCTTTGGATCTTCACTGGTCCTTGTGATGAGTATGTGCCCTTTTTATACAAACGAAAGTGCCCTTATTGCATTATAAAATGTGCTCTATTTTAGATGAAGATGTTGGAAACCTATAAAAAGTGCTATAGTTATTACGAGGGGTATAAGTCGGTCGTAAAAAAGTTTTTAATTTAACATGTGCTCCCCATTTATTTTTTGTGTTTTTCATTTTAGGAAGAAATTCGCGACGCTCAGCATGCAGAAAATGGCACTCCAAGGTTCACAATTTTGAGATGCCTACGGTTTTAGAACAGCATTCCACACAAAATGTCAACATGTTTTCGGTTTTCAATATTGAAGTTAATTCGGACATTGAACATGTATATTTTTGGAGGAGAGAGCAGCCTTTTAACTTTTCACTAATGACAAAAGTAATCGTATAAAGCATATTGTCAAGAGACAATTTGCTTGTTGTCTGTCATTATCTCTGTCCACTTAGAAAACAATACAAGAAAAGCCACTCGATACTGCGAAGATTTTCATTCGACCTTGGAACGCATTTCACAGTTTCACTCGATCATGATCCGATCTTGGAAGAATGAGAGATTACATGTTTTGCTCCCTTGTGTAATTAAGAGGCAATTTTCCCAGCGAATTTGCGAGTTGGTTTTCGTGATAAGTGGAAAAGAGCCCTTATCCCAACCCTTTGATACAATCCATTCCGTTTACCAGTGACAGTGTGTGCTTTAGTTCCTTCAAATGTGCTATCGGAGGAAAATTGAATACCAAAGTCCAATATTTCGATATCACCAAGTTTGCTTGACCAATGTGTGGATCTCGAGGTTCAACTGTCCAAGATTCAGGACTATCCTTCATTTCAACCAATAAACTCCCCCCGCCCCAACTACTTACGCTGTGTCTCTAATTGTTGATAAATATTATAGTAATACATTTAGTTTTGTTGTCCATGAAATCCAATAAAATCCAGGGAAATGACAACAATATCCGGTGGACAATCTCTGGCTGGGTCAAATATTTCACCCAATGTTGGAGAACCTATATGTGTTTCTAATACATCACCGAGTAATTTCCCAGGCGGAAAACGTATTTTTGTTCTATTCCTTCCTTTGCTAAAATTTCCTTTGTTTTGATGAGTCAGCGAGGTTAGATCATTGCCCTGCCTTTACTCGATGACTGCCTAACTTGGTGAATTTATAGTATTTCGGCGCTCACCTGAGAATGTTGCACATTTCTTAATTACTGAAGTTAACTCTCAACACCAAACTATCCGATTTCACTCATGAGCTCAATCAGTCCAATACCGTTCTCTGTGTTCTTTCTATAGCGGTCTAAGAAGGGTCATCCCTTATTGGTCCAGTATTATGCTAAATAGATCAGTTCAAAACAGATTTTCCTTGAGATCCGGTAAGGATCATCCGTTATCGATCCTGTGTTATCACAGGAGAAACCTAAATTAACCGTATTTATACTGGATAGAATGTGATTGGCTATTATTTAAATTATTATTAGATTAGCACTACACTAGTTATGTTTTGCTGATGAAGTATAATATGTCTAGGATTTATGCTAATCAAGTGAATTTTTAAATTCACTTGACTAGCATAAATCCTAGACATATTATAAATAATTAAAAAAAATTTTAAAAAATTAAAAAAAAGTTCCCAACGTAGTTGAGCATGCCCCACAAAAACTTTCTTTTACGTCAGTTCAATGAATTCTGTCGGGTTTGCTTTGAATTGGATTAGACGAGCGAGTATAGAATCCAAAATATAGGTGAAAATCTACATTTATACATATTGAGCAAATGTACATATATATATTGAGCAAACATGTCCATCTCATTGTCCATCACTCAGTTTTAAGTGTTTTACTTTAACCACCGCTTAACTTATCAACAAACCAAATATGTTATAAAGAAATACATTTTTTATACCCTAAAGAACTTGGAATGCAGTGAATAAACCTCGTCAAACATTTTCATATTCTTCGTTTTGTGGCTAATATGTATAGCTCGCCTTTATATGGCCAAGGTTTGTTGCTGTAAGACGACAGGGGGTGGGTTGGGATAAATCCCAAATTAACTCTGTATCAGACATGAGCCATACATAAGATGGCAAGCCAGGGACGGAGTGGCAGAGGCACCTCCAGAAAGTCTTTACATTCCATGTGGGCGGAAACTGGAGTATACTCCCTGCGAAAACCCACGTCTTTCGGTAGAGCGTTGACCGACTCTTTTCACATAAGATTCACAAGTCCGGAGCGAGAATCGAACATTCGAACCCACGATCTCAGAGGAGGAAGACGCTTGAAGACTTTGAACTGACGAGTATATGTCTTCGAGAAACTTTAATTTACAAGATTGAGTTTTAATTTCTCACTAATATCCCCCTATCATTCCAAAGACATTTCGAGTTTATTAGCCGCGTTCAACTTCATCTGCAACTCATTATGTACGGGAGCGTTGAGTTATCTCTCCGTTCTCGTCATTAAACTGGCCTTATTTTGCTATTCAGCTATTCTCGTATCTTTAATTAAAAACAGAGTAATTTTAAAGCTGTTTCGACGACAGTCTGCCCCGCTATCAGTCACAGGCTATGTGGATCAGTTGTGGATTTTGCAGCCAACATACCTTTGGTCTGTTCATTGTCAATAGTCTGTTCCGTGAAGCAGTACAGCACGTGTAGATTTTGAGTGTTTTACAGGTAGGTCTTAAGGTATTTGTCAATTACTGCAGGGATATAGCTTATTTATAGAATGTATCACATGCACACTTGGCAGTCAGACATGCATGCATGTCTGAAATTCATCGTTAATATAAGCGATAATGAGCGATGTATGTTGCGCATTTTCGTTGCTGAGTTGTATGTTTGGGAAAGAAGAAAACAATTATACATGACATAGTGTACTGTAGAGTTTCCAGTCACATGCAGGCATCTTCAGAGAAATATGATGTCGTATATGTTCATGGCACTACATTGTCAACATACAGTTGACTTCTTCATTGTCAACATACAGTTAGCCGGATTGGTTGATGGTCCTACAATTTTTTTAGCATTCGAGTCAACTTGCCTTGGTAAAAGCGCGAAATCAAGTCATATCATATTAATTAAGCGAATGGAAAACATGATTGCACGAATACTATTTTGAGGGCAGTACGCGTGGATTTTAGTATTTTACTGTAAATAAATATATGATATCAATTGAAAGATTTTTGGCATTCCTAGTCCCACCCAAATCTCTAAATCCGAATCCGAACTATTAAATGATTGTAAAGAAAACTAAAATTAATACAGGTTAGCCGTTAGGGATCGAAGTCTATGCAATTGGTTGTGTCATGACTACTTTCTTGGCCTGAGAGCCTAGCTGTCATGAACCAAGACGAAAGGCCATCAGCTCACGATTCATGAGAACGAGGCTCCCAGGTCAAGAAGAGATTTGTGACGTAATTATCGAAATGGTGTTTTGAAGTTACAGGTGTCGCAGCTTGAACTGTAGTCGTTGTATTACAACACATGATGACCTGTAATAATTTACGGCGTTGTAAACAGAGCGAGGACGGCGTATACTACCATGCACTGTAAAAACAGATTGGTTAAATGAACAACCATCAAATTGAATTGGCTATCTAAGATTCAAAATGACAACCAATTCCTGGCTTGTTTCAACCAATTTGTTTAAAACGCTTTGAACATGACGATCAACTCTAAAATGAAAGATATCGCGGAATGACATCACTTACGCCTGTATTCTTAAAGCTCACTTACACTCAAAGAGTGAAGGTTCATTCTGAGCTTCTCTTGAGTGTCAAGTGCTGTTTTTGAATAGCTGAAGGGTTACTTTGTGCTGCAACTTACTATGTGACTACTCACCCAGTAGCTATTCAAAAACAGCTAGCACTGACACTCAAGAGAAGCTCTGATTGAACCTCCACTCTCCGAGTGCGAGTGAGCTTTCAGAATACAGGTGTTTATAGTATCAGTTTCGCGCTGTCACAAGCGTCAATCCATTTAAAGCTGACCATATACAACACTTAAAACCCACAGTAATGAGGAATTGCAATGACGTAATACGGACATAAATGAAAGACAAGGCGAGTCAGGAACTTCCGTCCTGTCCAACACGTCATTTAGGGCAGTGCGATTAATCATGCCCCATTCTAGCGGTTATATACCTAATTTATGCTATAGACGTGATCAATTACAAGCCAGACACGCTAAGAGACAAGCGCGACAAATATAGCGTTATCATTAGAGAGAAAAAACAAGTAAGTCGTATTATATAAGAGTTTGTAGTGTCTGTGTAGTGTCTTACTTTATGACAACTATATTTAAACATTTATGTGTACTTGTATGTACATATTATATTCAAATTTTGCGCCAGGAAGAAGCCATATAATGGCAATTATAAAGCAAATTATACAGTATAACGCTTACTGAAGTATGCTCACAGTGTGCCATGGGCGGTTGCAATCAAAATGTTGCTCAATCCCAAATCTGATAACATGAACGGCATAGGCCATAGCCATAGCACCAGTGACACTGACTGCTAATTTCATAAATGTACTGTATGTGTATATGATTCTATACTTGCAATTAGTTTTATGAACTATTGCAATAGTCCGAGCAGGACAGCTCGTCAAAGCGGTGCAGTGCAGTGCTTGTAAGTTGTAAACTACGAATTATTTCATCCTTATAACTCCCGGAGCAGAAGCTGGTCACAGTTTATGAGATACAGCAGCCAAACGCGAGAGAACAGTTGGGAGACATGAATGCTAACTCTACATATTCATGCATGCACATAATTGAGAGTTTTACAGTACAGTGCCAGATGTTTCTAGGACAGCATGGCGCGCATTGTACTACTTCGGCATGTATGGCCATGGGGTTGAAACACAGAAAGGCTGAAAGTGAAAAAGCCTCAGTTCTATAGCCCTGTACATTCAAGAGCATATACATGTCCTCTGTATGATCTAAGAGACTTAGCATTACTCCCACGAGTTCTGTACAGCAACTAATGAGTCTTAATCGCTGAAGAGTAGCCCGCGGTGGATGTCCCAATAATGGCCAACTTAGCCTCTCAGTTTTGAACAACATTGGACTCACTTCAGAACAGCTTAAATCCAAGAACTTGTACTACTATAGCATGCAGGGTAAATCACTTGCACTCTCAGATTAGTTTACATTAATTATTCCTATAATTACATTTATATTTTAATGCTATAAAGTCATGTTTAGTACACAGTAAAAGTTTCCACATGATCATCTATCAAGCTTGCTAGTTATGTCAAATCTACGTAATGTTCAACAAGGTAATTTTAACAGACTGTCTTCTTGTTTACTGCTTATTCTGGAGTATCAAACATGAAATGCAACAAAACAGACAAACCCAATTATTTTTTCACGAACGATATCCGATATCTGTGAAATTTTGAAGTGGCGCATGCTGAAAAACTAATGACCTTAAATCTTAATAGGTTTGACAAAATTATTTTTTTCTGTAAAGTGTAAATATCGACTTAATTACATATGCACATCCAGTCGTCCATTAGAGTTAGATATTTTGAGTTTCGACTTTTACTGCTTGGAGAAACAGTTCAGTATTTTTACAGGAACCTCTTGTGTTTTGTTTTCGCATTGAATGGACACTGGACTCTGTATATAGTCTGGAATACGTCCGGGTACAGACGATATCAAGTCGAGACAGAGATGAAATCAAAGAAAGACTGTTAAAAGGCAATATTTATTTTCACAGCCGGTATTTCTCATAATTTTCTCACTGATTTGTTTATCTACGCAAATTGTGTTTGTCTTCTTTGAATAAACTGATAGCGCTGTGATAAATTGTGAGATAGGTGTCGTGTACTTCATGTAGGGTGTGAATGAGAAAATGCAGAGGGGAGAGTGTAGAATTTATAAAGGCATGGGAATGGACTGAAACAACGAGTTTCGTTCATTTACACATGATAAGCGCGCCGTTTGAACTACGCCGCCAAATTCGCCTGATTACTTGACGGATTATTCGTCTAGTGTTTAAACTGGACACATAATATAAGAGACGTAGAATGCGTTCAGAAGGATAACTGGTAGCCTACGGTGTAAAGTGTAGACCCCAGAAGAAACACGTTTCGTGAAACGTGTTTCTGCTGGGGTCTACACCGTAGGCTAGATAACTGGCCTCTGTAGCTCAGTTTGTTAGAGCGCTGCACCGGAATCGCAGTGGGACCTAAAGTTGCATTTTTCGATTCTGTTCCTGGTCGACAATCTCCATCTACAAATACATTTCAACTATTATTATGAGATGCTAACAAAATCTTGATATTAATAAATTCTTTTTTTTTTAACTTTTGGTATAGTGTAAATAAACTTTAAACAAACTGTAATAAAATACAATCAACACTGACAAGTGTTTATATAACTATACAGGTATATACGATTATTAATTCAACGGAAGAAAACCCATTATCTTTGCATATTGTCATAATGCAGTGTGTTCCCACTCAATACGCTTAATCATTTCAGCAAATTGCATTCAACCTCCTACAGCTGTCCTAGCAGGGTCTCCGAGAACCCTGTAGCGAAAACGGACAATCACTCCACGGCGTAGCTGAAACCGAGCAAAGTTCGCAACCTTTATTGTGCATCGAGAAACATATCTGAATGTAATTTCCAGGGAGACAAAGACTTTATATGCAGATATTGTCAGAAGCATTGACAAACTAATTCATCAAATCTGATTTCCCATTTAGCTTTGCGATCCACGTTTTCATGAGGCCCGACGGACGAACACATCTTGACGTGCCACTGCATCAGATTAAATTTGGACGAAGCAAGTCGCTCAACACTCCTAGAACTCCAAGTATCACAGGCATGAATTATGTACGGCCGAAAAGGACCTACAGTTTACCCAACAGAGAGCGAACAAGCCTACCGATCGTTCAAATTAATTTCTCTGACAATGATCGAGTCGACGAGGACAATTGCAGTGATAAAGAAACGGAAAGAGCTAACTACGGGATTGCTACAGGACATTATGGGTCAAGCGGAGGTGAGGATGCAAAATATAGCAAATATTAAATAAAGCTACTACTCTGTGGTCATACACACACATTTCTGCACGTATTTCCCCACTTTTTACACATTCAAGACGCTATACGAAACACAGTTGATTGTAATTTGTATCAATAAAAATATCATTACGCCTAATTTCTGAAAGATAATTCGTGTTTTCCTCGACATTTGACAAGTTTCCCTTGCCCGAGATAAATATTATATGAAGCCAACTTATGCATGCGAGTATAGTGATATATAATACAGATTTATTCTTGATCTTACCATTTTCTATAAGAAGTACGGGATATTCTATCTATACAACATATCATTAACGCCTAATTTGCGAAGGTCAATACTCACAATAGTCGTAGAGGAGCATACAGCTTGTGTGCATGTGACTGCATACATGTCATCTTTTAAACACAGTCTGCCCATTTACGTCAATTGCCGTACCGATGCTAGCAAGTTTTCATCGAGCGGGACTATGTTACGTAAAATTAACTGATGTGATTCATCATGCCTAATTTGCGAATGCTAATTGTCATACAGACGCTAACAAGTTTTCCTCCGGACAAATGTTCTTTCGGCACGGCAAACGGGCGAGGAATCCTTGTTTAAAAGTATAGTGCGGTAGCCACGGTATTAGATGTACAGCTATCAACAAGAATGTGTTCAACATACACACACAAGCAAACAAATTCGCCAAGAAACTCGATCTGGAAAACTAGCTTGCTTGTACGAGATTTTAGAGTTCGTTCACATGACAGAAGACTGGACGACTGATCGTGCGAATTTTAGCACGTGGTTCCAAAATCATCCAATCCTAGTGCACGCATGTTTGAAGAGGGTCCCCAAGATTAGTGTTGGCGAAAATGGACATACATGTCAATTCAATTGACAATATACTTCGTTTCATGTTGAGCAGAATTATGACACCGAGTGACACATATAAATAATTACAACAGTCGAACACCGTATTTACCTAGTTTCCAGAACACGGAATATTTCCATTTTTTTATGCAAGCCACGAACATCTTATGCGCATATATTCAGTGTGACGAGCACTTATAAAAACTATTTTTAAACCAGAATCTCGTGTGATTTACATCTTTCAAATTAGTTTTATTCAAAAAGCTATGGCATATACTTCTTCGCATATTATTGGGTCTTAAAAAATATTTCATTCTCCCAAACTAATTCCTCCTATTTAGAAAACAAACATCAATAACTTATAATAGCTATAAGGCTATATCTCTTTTGTGAAGCTTATCTATATTTATAGATGAGTTTTTTAATTATTCTGCTTTTGTCACAAAGGTTGCCTGCTGTTTTTGAAGTATCGAGCAATCATAAAGTTTTGCTTGGGTAATTTGCTTGCGCAGTTCAATTATAACGGATTCAAAAACTGTATCGATTTGCGCATAAATGGCCATAACTTCCCAATCAATTCATGTATTTCTCGTTTGTTTCTTTAAAAATATTTTAAATTAAGGTTAATTTCTGGAAGATCGGACCGCGAAACTCATATGCATGCGATTAATAATTAAAGAGAACATTAATAAAATATACTAAGTGCTAATTTGAATATACAAAAGCTAATGATATATTGTTTTGAATGAAAGTAATGACATTGTGCGAATACGTCGATATTATGGCAAAGCAATCAATTTCCGTAAGCTAGAATATTAATTTTGCATCGACTATTGGTCAACGTGTGGCAGATAAGCATTAATAATCTCGAAAGCTTGATTTGATTGGTATAGATTGGCATGCTTTCTATTTGATGTTCAAGGTTATATCTTGTGACAAAGTTGATGAGCCCAACAGACTTGCAACAAGTCGTTCCAACAAGTCTGATATAGTCTGCAAGTTGTTAACAAGTTGATGACTCGCAGCAACTTGTTAACGGAACAGCCTGTATTGGTCTTGTTGGAACAAATTGTCTGTTACCTTCACCAACCTTGTAACAAGGGTGATGGTTTCAGACTTGTCACAACAACTCGGAACAAGCCTTCCCACCGGGCACATGACGTTGTTTCAAGGTTGAAATTTCGACAACCTAATATCTACGTTGCTCTGACGTTGTTTTACAAACATTGGTTCAACAGCAGCCAACAGACGTTGAATTAACGTTCATTCATGGTTACATGTACGACGTCGATTTGTGAACCAATCTCAACGTTGTTTTAACGTGGATTCAACGTTGAATTATGGTTGACGAGATTGGCAACCTAATTTCAACGTTGTTTCAACGTCGAAACAATAACGTCGATCCAATTTGCATAGTCAACCCTTTTTCAACGTCTATCCAACGTCTGGAAGGTCATTTCCAACGTTGATTCAACGTTGGATAAACGTCATTTTGCCCGCTGGGTTGTGGGAACACACCCTGATATCGGCTTGACAACAACCTTGTTACAATTTGATTGCAAATCTGGAACAACTTGCGCGTTTTTACGGGCATGTACTATCACATTAACACCTTTCCCATCAAAGACTCATTCAAGATTTCATTATTTTTTACCAGGAGACGCTATGGAACCACTGTTTGGCGTTCTTCTCAGTGTTATCTTTCTAATTTGGTCGTGGATGCTGGATGCATATAATTTATAGCAATATTTGTTATTCATTCCTTGGATGTACATAATTAATTGATTTCTTCAAAATTAAGGAATACCATTTTGTTGAATGAACGATGTCCTAATTTCAATAAGAAGACAAAACTGACTTTTAGGAAGAAATGTAATTGATTTGTGTTATACGGAGTATATATAATTTTTTTACCAAAGAAAAATTTGTTGTATGTACATAAAAGAGTGTAAATGGTGTTGAAATGTATACGTTTTTGTGTATTTGTTAAAACTTGGACATTGTGGTACATTTTTAGTAGGCGATTTGCGCATTTGATGATCATTTTTAAAAATGCAATAAGCCTGGTTTCCATTAAATCATAATTATCGCAAGCGTCGCAACGATTTTAAAAATGCGAAATTTTTAATAAAAACTGCGATTTATTGGAAACTTGAGTCACACCGATAACTAATACTCTTACCGACAAAGTCGCAAAGATAGACTTACTGCGATTTTTGCGATAGCGATGTCTGCGTTCCGCGACTATTGCGATGATTACGATTTAATGGAAACCAGGCTATACAGTAAGGTGTAGTTTAGTACAGTGTTCCTTTCAAAGTTCGTTTAAAAAATTACAATTTTTGCTGCGATGTCCAGTGCGATTTCCTTCTTCTGAAGGATGTGAACGAGTGGATGAGTAATGAATGTTTGGGTATATGCACCTTTTCAACTATGTTTAAAATCTCAAATTCTGATAAATATAATTTAAGAAGTAATAACAAGATGCTGATGTTGTCGAAGCCTAAAACAAATTCAATGAAAAGGACATTCGGATATGCTGCTGCTAAAGACTGGAACTATAATAGTAAAAATTTTAAATCTACTTAATTCATTTGTAATATATATATATTTAACGTATCGCTTCGACCCAAACATTTCTTAGTATCTTTTAATATTTTTATAATAGTTTATATAATAGTATTTCGAGTTTTAATTTGTATTTAATAACACGGCCTAATGAAAAACAACCTTTATAATTTTTGTAAATACTGATAGGTAATATGGTTGATTAGTTACCGTGTATAAAGATGTTGTAATAATAATAATAATAATAATCTAATCATTCATAACTCATTCCGACTCTTTAGCATCTATCAGAAGACAAAAATCGCACCTAAAATCGCAGCAAAAATTGCAAGTGTAAACATGTCTTAACTGTTCTTTCTAGAGATCCACTACAATGCAGCTCTTATTTATTCAACTGATTATTTTACAGTTTTTACTACAGGGGCTAGTTGTTCAAAGCTGGGTTAGGTTAACCCTAGGTTAATAAAAAATTCAAAGCATACTTTCTGACAGCTTGCGGCTATAAATTTGGAAATATTTCTTCAGAGATCTTGTCTAGATCGATAGGAGTTTTCTTCTTTGAAGTTTTGAAATAAACAGACGTGCAGAAATACATAAACTAAAACAGCTGGTTAAATTTTAACCCTGCAGGGTTAGGGCTAACCCACCTTTGAACAATCGGCCCCAGGGGGCCAGTTGTTCAAAGCTGGGTCAGTTAAGGTTAACCTAAAATTCAAAGCAAACTTCGTGACAGCTCGTCTATAAATTTGGAAATGTTTCTTCAGAAATCTTGTCTGGATCAATAGGAGTTTACTTCTCTGTCTGACGTTCAGTTGAAATAAACAGACGTGCAGAAATACACAAACTAAAACAGCAGGTTAAATTTTAACCTACGGTTAGGGCTAACCCACCTTTGAACAACCGGCCCCAGGGGGCTTAACCCTGGGTTAACCAAAAATTCAAAGCAAACTTCATGACAGCTTGTCTATAAATTTGGAAATATTTCTTCAGAGATCTTGTCTGGATCGATAGGAGTTTTCTTCTTTGAAGTTTTGAAATAAACAGACGTGCAGAAATACATAAACTAAAACAGCAGGTTAAATTTTAATTTAATTTTTCCGAAGGAAAGGGGGGTCTGGGGGTCCTCCCCTAGGAAATATTTACATCAAGTTTGAAGCTCCAGGACTGCATTTCTGGCGTTTTCTAAAGCAAATTCGCAAACGATCGAATTGGATCTAAATTGACTATATTTTACAAAAATGGTTATCATTTCACAAAAATAACGACTCTATTACGCAAATGTTACCTGAAAATGTCAAAATTTAAACTTGAATTTTACCTGATCATGAATTTCACAGTTGGGGGGGGGGGAGGGGGTTACACCCCCGCTAACAGCATTATGAGGACTTGTTAAAAAGCTTGCTACAAGCCTGTTGTGAATAAATATATATGAGATAATAGTTGCATGCATGCATGCACCGAATCAGCAACACTCAGTAGAACTCAGAAGCAAACACTTATTTTCTTTGTTTATCAATATTATTATGTCATGAAAGGAATTACCCATCTCTTCAAGAATAATAATAATAATAACACTTTATTTATTGAGGATAAACAGATAAAGTTACAACTTTTTTCCAATCTGGTCCTCCTAAACTCTATAGACACAACAACAATAACATTAAACATGACTATATTCAGTACTTCCTATAGGAGTATGACAAACATAACAAATGAAATCATGGGCACAATGTAAAGTATTAACCAGTACTACAATTCACTTGTTCATACCTCGAGAAAGCCCCAATTTACTAATTAGGCAATTTTCTAACTATGTCTAAATTATATTTACAGTACAGTATAACAAGTCGAAATACGCGTTGACACACAACTCACAAGTGTCTAAAGTGACATTATAAACATGACAGTATTTGACACTTTCTCCATGTACGAACAACCGAAAGTAGATCATGCTCAGCTAAAACTGCAGGCATGAATTTCGGCAGTTCGTACATCAAGAAAGTAACCAACTTATAGTCTTAATAAAAGAGAAAACATGCAAACAAACAAACACTAAATGTTCTTAACAGCGAATACACTGTCACTGATACTTATTGGACTATATACTTATATTAAACAATTAATTACTGATGATATTTTAGATATCTTAATAAAGCCTTATGCTGTTAAGTTTAGTTGAACTCACGAGTTTCTGACTAAAGTAACTCTTGCAATATGTGTTGAATGACGGCTGCGATATTATTTTCTTTGCCTCGTTAGGGAAATTGTTCCATAAGGTAGATGCTATAAATGAAAATCGTCGTTTTCCTGCGTTAGATCTTGCTTTTGGGATGTGTACATTATTATTCGCAATAGCTCTTGTTGAATGGTGGTGGGTTGGTTTTTCCATGAGGGTGCTGAGGCATGGTGGACTGATGTCATGTATGCATTTGAACGTCTGTAGTAGGATCCGGTGGCGAATGGTGTCATGAATTGGGATAAGGTTGATTTCTTTGAATAAGGTTATTGATGGGATAGTGTAATCAGCGTTTAGTAGAATCCTCGCGGCACGTTTTTGGGCAGATGTTACACGTCCAAGAGCGTCTGTACTACAATTACCCCAAACGCTACAGCAATACTCGAGTGTTGGCTTTGCTATGCTGTTATAAAGGAGAAGGAGGAGCTTGGGTGTAAGGTAAGGTTTGGCTCGTTTCACAAGTTCAAGTTTGTTGTTGTATTTCTTGATAACGTGAGAAATATGGGTGTTCCATGTGAGTGAGTCATCCATGTGCACACCAAGTAGTTTTTCGCAGGTTGTTTGGGAGATGGTGGTTCCGCAGATAGAAACGTTGAGCGGTTCGTTGATGGTTGAAAGTTTTTGTCGTGATCCAATAAGCATGACCTTAGTCTTGTTGGGATGGATGGCCATTCTATTCTCGGAGGCCCAGTTACTTAAGTTGTCAGCACCAGTTTGTAGATGTGATCTAACAGTGTTGATGGATGTCCCTGACTTGACCAAGGTGGTGTCATCTACATAGATGTAGGAATTGCATTCTTTGTTAACAAGTGGTATGTCGTTGATGAATAAAATGAAGAGAAGTGGTCCAAGTGATGAACCTTGTGGAACACCGGTATAATACTTGATATCCGTGAGAAAATGTAAATTAACACTTCGTCGAATACCTATCATTTACTCGAAAGTGCGAGCGAAAGTGTTCATGACTAGATTGGACCATAAATATATAAATATACTACATTACGTCATAATAAATTAAACTTCGTACACAATTAGTGTAGAAATTAGAGAATCTTTTTGTACATCAGGTCAGGACTACGGTTTACAGCAGGCTGTAACATTCGAGTGCGTGAGAATTGGATAGAACTTGTGGTTAGAGCTCGATAATTACGCCCGTATTCTAAAAGCTCACTCACACTCACACTCAATGAGTGGAGGTTCAATCTGAGCTTTTCTTGAGTGTCAATGCTGTTTTTAAATAGCTGGAGGGTTAGTGTCGTACCTTACTATGTGACTACTCACCCTCCAGCTATTCAAAAACAGCATTGACACTCAAGAAAAGCTCAGATTGAACCTCCACTCATTGAGTGTGAGTGAGCTTTTAGAATACCGGCGTTAGACTCTGTAGCACAGTTGGCCTATAGTTGCATATACAGTATATAAGATCATGTGCTCAAAAGTGATGCATATTCGCAATATAATCCTTAAGAAAATGCTGACCAATAGTTTAGTGCGTGCAAGTCTGACCACGATTTACGTCATAGATCAGATGGTAAAATAAAGCATGTATTTGTATCGTAAGGGTATAAATTGCTTCACAAGTGGGCTTTTAAATTAAAGTACAGCCGGAAATGTGGAGCTAGGAATTTATCAAACATAGAAGTAGATAATTGCTCAATGTTATGTAATCATCAATAAATAGACAATTCCCATTATAGACTAATTTTAAAACTATAGGCAAGGAGATGCAAATAGATCACCACAGCTAGAAAGAGCATAGTAAAATTAGTAAAATTGCAAAGTTTGGTTGCGCAATGTTGTAACTAATGCGGGAAATATAACCTTGCAAAGTTTGTATACTTTTGTATTGCGTGCGGAAATTCCTACCACATTTGGACCGACCGAAAATGGTAGCAATTTCCGCACGCATGACACATGTACAAAAGTATACAAAATTTGCAAACTTTGCAAGGCTATATTTTCCGCATTTTACAACATTTCGCAACCAAACTTTGTAATTTCACTAATTTTAGTACGCTCTTTGCAATTGTGATTTATTTGCATCTCCTTGTTTAGTTTTAAAATTAGTCTATAACTATGGGAATTGTCTATTAGCACTAATGCCCGAGTGAAGAATATTCCATTTCGACATTTTACTAAAGGAAACTTCACGCAAGCAGAGAAGATTTGCCATTTGTGGAAAAAGAAAAGGGTTTTTCCCGAGGGTTTTTCAAAAGCATACAACCAGTGTAAGGCCTCGCTGCCAAGCACCGACCATAATGCAAATGGCATACATGGGCCTATAAATATAATACCTCATTAAAATGTTAACAGCATGCATGAAAAGTGAAGTCAAAGATACGAGGCACTGAACCTTGCGCGATTTCACTGTAAAATATACCCCTCATCGGCCTCATGTATAGTGGACTGAAAATATCACTCCATTCGTATACGTTCAGTGCATCAAAGTGCATGGTCATGGAATAGCGCGACTATCAAGTTAATTCTACTTCGAAAACTGAGTTATAGCTAAAGGATTCAGTTATGACTGTCGTGGCCATCTCTACGATCAGTATAAGGACTGATTTACATACAGCACACGATTTGACACAAAAGACAAGATAGATCCAGATTCCAGACTATAACTGAATGTCGATATAATCAGTATGGACTGATTTGCATACAACACACAAAAGACAAGATAGATCCAGACTATAACTGAATGTTGATATAATCAGTTACGACTGATTTGCATACGGCACACAAAAGGCAATTAACTCCGATCCGCGATCATGACCTAATAAAATTAATTCGGTCACGTCAGTAAAGACTAAATGAAAACGAGGCTTTTAAAACGAAAATTTAGCGCGAAACCGTACTTATATCTACGTGCTACGCGAAACTTACATCTGACACAATTAACTGTGCTGTCTGTGGTGAAGTTTAAAATACGTTAAATCTTAATATTAAGATTCATTGCACCTTTTGTGCTATTTTCCAAAGCACAGCGAGTGTGCCATATGCAGTATTGTCCCAACCTATTCAAACGCGAAAGCGCGCATATTTAATGAACCTACCCCATAATCCAGTTCTCAGCAAGGGCAAAATACGGAATTTCAATTTGAACAAGTTTTTGTTATGTTAAATTGTTACATTTCACAACTTGTGGAGGAAACAAGACAACTCTGCCGACGCTCGGTAAGGAATAGCTCTTGAATTTTCCAAGCTTATTTGCGCTTGTTTTACATGTACCGTTTACAGCAATATTGAGTCGTAATATTACTTCTTTTATGCGTTTCAGCCTGCGTTTCCTGAAGAGGAATCACTACAATTAGTCATGGAAGGCTAAATGGCGACGAATCGAGAAATACGTTAACTAAAAGCAGCGGTATTACAGTTCAATTTGGAGTTTGTGCCGTTACAAGAGACTGGTAGGGATTTGTATGATTGATACTGAGAAGGACAAAACGGACGTGTGGAAAGCAGAATTGGGCAATGAAAAGATCGCACAGCTATTAAATTCGTGGCATACTCTGACGCCAACCCGGTGAGTTGTTACACTTGAATATCTCACATAATGTATCAAAATTTTCTGCCTGAAAACAACCTTGAAATAGAACTTTAAAACAACTGAAACAGAATGTGAATCAATTGAAAAAGAGTCTGAATCAAATGCAATTAAGCTGTCGTGCGCGCAGATTGGAGAAACGCAGACTCCATATATTATTGTCACGAAATTTTCTTTCGAGCTCGTTATGATCAGTATAGCATTCGTATCACTTATATATGTTTGGAAAGTGTACTTTGTGTACTGCTCTAATGCATCAACTTTCCAAACTGTTTGTCTCTTACAAAGAAATCGGCAGCAGAAAATAAACACTTCTAAATTTAAAATCCAAATAGTTATAAATACACATGACATGTTCATATATTATTGTTAACAAATATAGTTGGTCAAATATAAGTGAAATATATTCACTAACAACGTACAGTTAAGATTAAAAACTCCAGCATGATGAAAATATTTCAAGACATGTTGCTTTTCCCTAACTTATTCTCGGTGGCTGATGTCATTTTAATCACTTTCTATATTTTTTATTAAATGGTAGTTAATACTAAAATTATCGATTCTGATTAGTAAACTATACTATTAGTTCCCCATATACTTTCTTATAAGACCCTCTCATTATCGTCCACGTTTGGGAAAAATGAGAGCTCTTCATGAGATTCGCCTATTTTTTGTCTGGGAAAATGGGTTTTGGACTGCTGGGGAAGGAATTTCACCAGTAATTTTGCTGTTGGGAGTGGGATTTATTTCATGTTCATTGAATTTCTCCGGCACTCATTGACATTGGTGAACGGATTTCCCAACAGGCTATATTGCCCAATTGATAGGGGATCCGAGGTACCTACGAATTTAACGTCCTTAATTATCCGACGCGAAGGACTAACCATTTACTGATCTCAATGTAAAGGTAGCTTTTTCTACTCAATTATTCGAACGCTGGTATTCTAAAAGCTCACTCACATTCAATGAGTGGAAGTTCAATCTGAGCTTCTTTCGAGTGTCAATGCTGTTTTTGAATAGCTGGATGGCTATGGTGTCATACCTTACTATATGTGACTACTCACCCTCCAGCTATTCACAAAACAGCATTGACACTCAAGAGAAGCTCAGAATGAACCTCCACTCATTGAGTGTGAGCGAGCTTTTAGAATACAAGTGTAGTCGTAGAGGTCCAACCAAGGATCTCCCACTGCTTGAAAGGCAAGCGCGGTCACCACAACACCGGCACAAGAGCTGGTTAACAGAACCCTCTTCAGTTAATTGCTGTATTTAACAACTAGGCTTTTACTGTAATTCTCCTTTTATGAAACTAGAAACTAGTGGTGAAAATCACTAATACATGATAAATTATAGGGGGTAAAAGTGACTTGCATGTCACGAGATATTAGAGTAATTTTAATCTGAAAATAGATTTCTGTTTCAAAACCAGTCTCAGCCCTTTTTACATTGTAAGTATTGATTATTGTTTAGGCTATGTCCTAATATTTGGTTAACGTTTACTTTGAAAGTTTGCGGTCTCCATATCACGAGTCATAATTACTCAGTTAATTAGTTTTACATAATATATATCGAATATCGCTGCAGGAAAGTAATTTAATCTCATATAGGCTCTGCAGGAAATTAAATAATTTCTGAAGGCAACATGTGGATAAGCGTTTTAATTTAACCAAAAACATGCCCATACGTGTTTTTTGGATATCAGTTTCTTTAGTATTTACCAAAAGAACCATTAAACAAAAGTAACTTTAGTTAAACTAAATAGCTTGATGATATATCTTTATATAGTTGCGTATTGTATGTGAAGGTTATGAACGCTATATATTAAAGTAGGTCCCCTACTTATCAAAATATTCAGTTCTCAATTATTTTACCATCTTTGAAAGTGGGCCTCAGATTATGACCATAGTTAATATTTGTTTAATGTTTATTCATATCTCATGTCCATGAACACTTTTTTTAAATAAAGCTATGATACGATGTCACTAATTTTGCTTGAGATCACGAGAAGTCAGCAATATTAGTCACCTGATTTTACAAAACTGATGAGTTGAAAGCTGGCATGCAAAGAGATGCCGTTGCTGCACTAAGATTTTCATCAGTGACAAAACAATAATCTTCAATTCTTTCTTTTCTTACGCAAATGTATACGCAATATCTAGTGCTCAAAGTACTCGAATACACCGCCAATACTCAAACTAGAAGCTTTTTAAGCTCGCGTGGAAGCACTTTGAATGGCTCTATCGGTTGGCTTATATTGCCCTTAGACAGTACAGTAATAAACGTAGAGGCTCGCGTCTACACTTGCAATTTTATTGCGATTTTTAGGTTTTGCTCTTCTGACGGATGTGAGCGAATAGATGAGTTATGGATGGTCTGAGTATACATGATCACTCATCTGAACATTCAGAACTCATTCACTCGTTCACATCCATCAGAAGAAGGAAATCAAACCTTAAATTGCAAGTGTAAATGGATCTTGATATTCTTGTTGTATATGGATGAGAATTATAAATAATGACATAACGTATAATGCTTTCATAACCTAGCCTGCGTGCAGTCTCATGACATCGTGCAAACGACGTGACGATGTCATGTGACACATAGGCTATCATAGATCTTCGACCTACTTTGCCAAATGGAGGCTGTCTATTCAATTGTTGTTCCCCCAGCATCCGCGGCAAAGTTTACGTTTGTGTTGCATCACATTATCACGCCGCAAAACAAGAAATCCTGTTATGACTATTATACTCATACTCGGAAGTATACGAAGTGCGTAGGTCGTTTAAAAGGTTACCGTAACCTTTTAAACAACCTACGCCGGCAAACACAATAAATATTCTTAAAAGTTAAAGCCGACAGATCACAGACAGTCTGCAACCACACATATACTCAAGGTGTGTCAGAGTTACTAAGAAAAACAAATCCACGTTTCAGTGCAGGAATTAAGAAATCTTCATAGGGGAAGACCAACACCAACACAACAATTCATAGGGGAAGTTTGAATGCATACGTAATGGTTTAGAAATAGAATTGAAACACTGTATAGGATTGTACCATCAACGATGATGTTTTAGTTAATAAGTAACTGTGTGTTTGCTACTCATCCAACCTCACAAGCCAGCGGAAGTAGAGTGCCTGGAAAGCTGAGCCGAATTAGGAAGGCGTCAGCTCAACCTGGCACGAGTTGAGGGCGTCTTTGACTGTCACCTTATGGCAACGGTTTTCAACTGGTTTTCTCATGTGTCCCCGATTTCACATGATTGAATTACCACTCCCCTGAACAGAAATTGCCCACTGAAGTCTATCAAAAACACGAATTTCGAAATAGTTAGTAAAATAGTAAATGATTTAAATTTTAAATAATAGATAGAAAGTCAAGCAAACATGTTTATAGTACAAACTATTGTATTCAGCTATTGTATCCAACTATTGTTTTCTCAGTCCTAGACCAGTTTGTGTCCCCTAGGAATTTGCCAAATGTCCCCTCTCGGGGACATGTCCCCCAAGTTGAAAACCCATGCCTTATGCCATGCCTGATCAAGGAACACATACAGCTACGGCTGAAGGGTTACTAGGGGATTTATTCCACCCATGCAACAACAGCTGTCCACATTCGCTGTAGGAGGGTACTGGGAGAAATCCACAACCTTCGGTAGAGTCCACGATCTCAAAGGGTGCTCGTAAATTGGATTTGAAATTGCGTTCTCCCAAGAAGCCTCGACTCGCTGAATATGCAATTGGCTCAATTGTAGATTTGTTTCATTCTCTTATACTGAATAAAAATCAGTCTTGAAAAATTTTACCTTCTCAGACAAATTGAGAGTAGGGAAATTTCACTCTTTTGAATTAAGACAGAAGCTTCTATGTCATTGTTGCTTTACGCCTGAGGGCAAAGGAGCCGTCATCCTTTCTTCTTCTTGGCATAAATACGGAATCGGTAATCTTTTAAAGTCTATACAGTATAGCGCTCTAAAAGCCCATTGTGCATTGTGTTGAATGAGGAAGTCGGGCTGATGTTGCCGCGATTCATTCAATCTACATTGTTGAATGTCGTCCAATTATCGTGATTACCATGATAATTTCTTTAGAAAGTGTATTGTGGTTAATGGTTGTGTTTTTTTTTCTCCTAAAGTTGAAGTGCTTCAAAAATGAGGAAGTACATGCTGCTCTATTTTTCTTTAAAGCTAAATGTCAAAGCATCACATACATACATGATTCCTCTTGGATGAAACAGCCTGTTGTGGAAATCTTTTGAGGTAAAATGACTATTTCTGCTCTATCTATATGATATCGAGCACTCTTTGGCATTTCGTGATTACATACATATATACATATATAATTTAATAGTTATCCGAAATGGTTTTCATAACTTATTTGCAATTGTGAAGAAATAAACTACAAAATTCATACGATCAAAAATCGATCCGAAAGCCTGGAATTACAGTGTATTCACCGCCATAGAAATATTCAAATAACTTATATTTCAAAAGATTCCATATTAATTATTGTCTATATATATACATTATCATAATTTGTTTCTGGGGTGTTTTCTTAAGCGCTTTAAAAGCCTAGTATGTGCACATCGGCCATTATGTGTTGAAGGGCGTCAGGTATATGCATTTCGCTATTTTTCCTTCCAGCTATCGTATCTTCTTCATTTGGTGCAAATAATTGTTGACACATTGTTGTGAGAAGAGTATATAATATAGGTTTAATTATAGGTTCTATTTTGTTGTTTTCTCTTTAAGCCATAAACTATAAACTCGAAGGTACATGAAAAAGAATTCATGAATAATGATAACAGTTTCGTGTAAATCTTAACCAAATGGGTTTCTCCCAAAAATATTGTGCTTATATAATAATCATATTTTGGACATCTCGCCAATACGGGTGGGTGGGTGCGGATCTACCGTGGTCTCGGGGTGCGGATCTACCGTGGATCTACGGGTGGGTGGGTGCGGATCTACCGTGGATCAATTCGGAAACCTCTCTAGTAAGACATCTCTCTAATACTGACACCTGTCTAATACGCGCGGATATTAGGATATACCACTTTAATACAGACACCTCTCTAACATTAACCCTCTCTAATATTAACCCTCTTTCCGGCTCCCACCCCCTGTTACATACATCGTCATGGTAATTTGTTTTTAATTAAGCATTGGGTTTGGCCGCAAAACATATCACGTTTATAGGTCATGTGCGGAACTCGCTCTTAAGAGACAAAACATTATAGTAATCTTTCATTCTGAACTACAAACTTGACAAAAACACTACAGTCACGAGCCAAGTGAAGTGTGAAAAAAAATTGGATTATACATAGTTGACTTTCTTCGAAAGCCACATTTATCGAGGCTTGGCATACGCCAGTCAGCATATACCACGCGTGAAACGTAATCCGCAGAGCATTTGGTGAAATAGGGAAACAAATACCAGAATACTATATATACACGAAATTGTGTTCCTATCACGAATCACTTTCTGATAACTGGCCAAGTTGGCACATTGAAAATTCGTGGAAAACTTGAAACGTACAAAATGGGTAAGAGAACTTATATCTACATGCTTACTTTAAATTACTTTAACGTATGAATATATAGGGTAAAATATGGATTTAAATTAATCTTTTGTGCTCTCCTGTGATCCTATGTATCCATACACCCGATAGCTCAACTTTATGTTGACGATAATTTTGCCATGATTGTGAAGTTTATGAAGAATAAAAAGTATTCCAAACATTTGTTACATTATTATTTATTTGAGAGTGTTAGACGTTCATTTTATTGTGAATATAGCCTTAAATGGTGTCACGTACCAATTAGTTTATCAAAATCTAAATACTTTAGACACTTGAATAAAGTTTAATATTATTATTATTATTATTATTATTATTATTATTATTATTATTATGAATATCTGATAGTATGTGGTTGAAAACTGTACCATATCAGGTCTAGTGTGGGTAGTATTATAGAATAAGTTGCCATGGTGTGTTTCTTGAACTCTTTCACGGCTCGATGAAAGGTCCATCTCGGAGCAACTATTGTTGAAAGACAAACCAGTAAGCCACTATATTGGTTAGTTAACATGAAGTATACAGTCTTACAGAGACCGCGTGACGTTAACACAGTGCGTTAGCTTTCCGAACACTCCCGAACACCCCCTGAATATTTTCAATATTCGTCATTTAAAGATTTCACAATTTACATCATTATGTAAATTGTGAAATCTTTAAATGCATGACGTCAGAAAATAAACACACTGACATTGCAGTTGAACTAAGGAGTCTCTTCTAACGCTATAAATGCAGAAAAGCCTAGAAATTCGAGATTTTTCAGTTAAGTACAAATTAAACGCCAAAAATAAGCTCATTTTAGACTCACATCCCTTGTTGCCGAGGATTGAACATAAATCTGCCATATAAACGAGATCAAAGGTCAACGATGAATTTGCTTAATTAAATTGAAGTGTAAACTTTGGTTTTAACTTCTAACCAGTGTATTAAACAAGCATAGCTCATAGGCGAGAAAATAACGCTTGACTTCCCGTCTCCCCCCTGAAGCTAACAAAGACAAAACAGAAACATTTTCTTAAAAGTTCGTTTTGTTTTGTCCCAATTTACCGTATATGTTAAGCCTTTGTTAACCTGTATATATGGTTCACTATTTCACGGATTCGAGTATAAGGCCTGAAATGCGGTTATAAACCGTGGCTATATATAACTTATAAGGTATGCCAAAAACCGTGGCATACTTTATTGCCACATTATAGGCCCATGAAACTACAGCACCCTATAGCTTATACCCGAAACGCGGCTCTCTATATAACATCACGAAAACGTCAACAATCTGGGCTTTGGAAAGACATGCAAAAAGAGTTTTGAAATGTCTGATTTTTGTTTCACTTTAGCTTATGCTTAGAGGTCTGGGATTGGATGTCGATATTGTATAGCAAAACTTTCAATAAAATCTGTAATCAGTACTATAGTAAATCTGGACTTCGCCATCTTACACCAAACATTAGGTCAAATGAAAACGACTATCTTCTACGGAACAATGAATGTCACACATTACCAAAATGTAGAAGCGAATGTTTTAAACGTAGTTTTATTCCTTCCTATATATAAGTATATGTACATATTGAATTGTATATATTTGTATATCACTTTTTATATTGACCTAATTTTGTAATATAGTTCATAGTCATAGACCTATATGTATAATGTAAAAATATCACAATTTTAATAAAACACCAATAATAAAAGTTATACGTCGTGCGCTCTAAAGCGAAGCCGCCCATGCAAGCACGCTTTAGTATTCTTATGGAGTTATGCATTCCTGCATGCATTTGTGAATTGTGGGCTTCTATATACAAGCATATAATTTTGGCGAAAAATGTCTTCCTATAGTCATGTAATAGTCATGTACAAGTATATACGACTCAGCATTAATCTGACTAAACAATATCAAGGGAGTTTACATTCCACTTTATGAGCATCACGTGTATATGAGCATCACGTAGGATCACGAGCATCACGTAGGCCTATGTCAAAAATTAGTTAGCCAAAACTATGCCAAGACTCAACATTATAGTATAAGTAAACAATAATATACAGGTTGTTTACATTCCTTTCGTGGGCAACAGCATACATGCAGGTCATTCATAGAATTTTAAAAATTCCCTTAGTCAACCTCAACAAGTGACCATCACTCATCAGGGCTAATTACTACGACCACGTCCGACAATTTTCCGAAGATGACGTGTGTCGGGGGAAAATAGCAAAAATAACTCACCATCACCAAAAACGTTATCATATATTAAAATAAAAATTTGAATATAGATATACAGTTTTCACAAAATTTCAACTACATTTCAACTTTAAATATGTTAGAACTATCTAAGTTTATTAATAAAAATCTCTCTGGCGTCAGAAATTGGCCAGCCGCCTTCAAGATAAAGAAGATAAACATTATACCTATCATTAGATGTGGAGAAAATATTTGAAAAACTTTAATTACTATTTGAATGCACTCAAATGTATTTCTATAAGCTATTTTTAAACTTTTTCAACCATAATTTCCACAGCCGATAACAGTCATTGTCAGGCTTCAGTTTTTTTCGGCATTATTGACCAGGTTTTTTGTATAGACATGAAGGAATTTTTATGTTTCCTGAGTTTTAGATGGTCACTCAATGTTATTCTCTCGTTCATTCAAACGCTTCTGCAAACGCAGGGCCTAGTGTAGGTGTACTCTACAAGAAGTTACCGTAATAAGTTTAAAAGATTTTAGTGTTTTGAGTTCTCTTGGTCAGAAATGGCGTAAAAGAAATGAAATAATTTTTCGCCTCTTTTTGAATGTATGCCAGCGCTACCAAATTCCGTTTCCCCCAAATTATTTTTAATTATGCCGAACAGACAAACATTGAGCATTGTCCTTGCCATTGAATAAATCATTAATACTTAAGCCCTATCGGTATGTCTACCTCGAAACACAATCGTTTTCAGGTAGTTCAGACACAAACCACAACAGCTTATTGTAGAATACCGGCTACCTACACTGGACCACCATCTTTGAGATATCTTTTCAGGTAGTTCAGAAACAAACCACGCCAACTTATTGTAGAATACTACCTACATTGAACCACCATGTTTGCGAATTGAGATATCTTTTCAGGTAGTTCAGACATAAACCACGGCAACTTATTATAGAATACTACCTATATACACTGGACCCGACCACCTTTGAGATATTTCAAAGATATACCTTGAAACATTATTAGCATTTACAGCTCTTTTACAAAGCCTATAATAGCCACATAATTACAGCACTTGCAATGGGCTAACTGTAAGAATCCACTTAAACTTTGTCTTTGAGAAAGTCTTCTAATTTCTAGAACGAGCCAGGGTTGTCGCGTAATTCAGTAGTCACTGGATCGCCATGTTTTAGATAATCTCTTTCAACGACGCTGATATTTATCCGTAATTTAAAGGTCTTTTACAAAGCCTATAAAGCCAACTTAGCACTCAGGACGAGTTATAAGAAGACAGTTAATCAATGAATGAAGAATACTACCTACACTGGATCGCCTGGAAGTTCGAGATTTATTTATTTTTACCATCCTGAGAGTAAGGTTTCCGCTATAAAATGCTTACTTTAACTTAAAGGTCTTTCACAAATCCCAAAAGCTCACGCCTGCACGCTATAGCACTTGGCTGTAAGAATTCACTATGAATATTCAACGAATCTTCCGGCAACATAGCCTGTAATTATTCCGCCCGCAACTTACGTAAAAATACCATCATTAAAAAGTGGGCATTTCCTTCCGCTTCTGAGGTCAATGTCAAATGCTTGATGTCAGTATAATATCGTGAACATCTCAACAATGCGTGAGTATACAAAGATGTAAGGCAACTAAGATACAAACTGAAGAAGAACGAACTTATTTGTGGAGTTTAATGGTATAAACAGTGTGAAATTTTGGTATACTGAATTTCTGAAATAATTTTAAATGGCAAAGGAAGCGGGTATGTAGGTTATTAATAAGTTAATATCTGATAATGTAGAATATTTAGACCAATGTATATGGACACTGGATTCCTACGAATCAGAATCGCGATAATTCGCTTGGGTTTATCTTCGTTCACTCTTCACTGTTTTTATTAAACTTATTGCATGGACCATGGTACAAAATTTCTATTCTAGACTTATTAATAAGTAATCTCGAACAGCCGATGGCAGTGTTGGTAGAGAGACAATATAAAGACAACTGTGCTTGTGGATTGAGAAAGATATATACAACCACCTCAACTACCTGAAATATATAACCAAAGCTTCGACGTTCGAGCGAAGGCCCTTCTTCGTCGTTAAAGCCTCGCTCGAAACGTACATCAGTTCTGCTTATATTTTTCAATTTGTTGTATATCCTTCAAAAACCACAGCTTTATTATAACTCCTAGACCTAGTTAATAAGTTAATATCTAATAGAAGAGGCTTTAACTACCAATGTATATGAACTCGAAATTCCTCAGTCTGACCAAAGCGAATTACGATAATTTGACATTTGCTAGGACTGTTCAGCTAGAGCTTTTGAGAAATGGTTATACTTCATATAAATTTAAAGTTATTCCGAATATAGTGTGCATTATATACCGACAATTTTTATTTAACCCGCGTATATTTTGAATGTATATTGGATTAACCTTTAGGCTTTTGCAGTAAACTTTATGCAGTTCATTTTGATTTTAAATATTTGCTGAGTAAATGAGGATTATATATTTCATTATTTGATAAAAAGAATGGGAACTCCCACATACTGTGACGCGGGTAGATGTCAATGTTTTAATGTTTTGCTTGAATACAAAGCAGATCGGAGGCGTGCGTATAGAAATATGGCTACAATTCACAATCAACACAATGTCATATACAATATCATTTATATTGAATTCAATTACAAGAAATGTTGGTTACTTTAGATTTGATTAAATTATCTATACCAAAAGTCAAATATAAGAAACTGTGGTTTCATTTTCACACGCTTTATGGTAGCTAGCTAGACTGCATGGTTCTGATCAAATATAGACTATCGTGAGTCATCATAAGACATATAAAAAGAGAGCAGTATCATTATGATACGTTTAATATTTAAGCGGACGAAATATATTCTAGCGACTTATAAGTCTTAAGCTTAAGCCTTAACTTAAACTGTTTTTGAACTGGTATGATGTTTAGCTCTATATACTGATTTCAATAAATCGTCAGGGCGGCTACAGTATTTTGGTATATAGTTCACAAAAAATACCATATTTTCGTGTACTTGAACTTGTAATACGTATTTCGGTACAGTATCAATACCGTATTTCAGTATAGGCCTGATGTTAGAGTGTTTCAATTTTATTTCACAACCTGCATCATTACACAGCCAGGCATATCCGTATTTCGGCAAACTTGAAAGAAAATACCATGCATACTTGGTTGAACTTGAACTGTATTTCGGTACATCATACACCTTACATTGGCATCACCATATAGAATATATACATTAGGGTTAGAGCTGGACAACTTGGCCTCTGTAGCTCAGTTGGTTAGAGCGCTGCACCAGAATCGCAGGGTCACAGACCGATTCCTTGGCCAGAGGACCTATAGTTGAATTTTTCACAACTGCCCTGGTTAGGTCTAATAAATATATAAAATTCACACTCGGAATTTATACCTACAAGTCCCTTCAATTCGTACGGTGTTTAAAATGAAATATGAAATGCAGGAGTTCGTGCAAAGTTGCACAACTTAAAAATATGCGAGAAACCCCTTACTAACCTTCGCAATTAAGATACTTAAGATTACAGAATCAAACTGAAACAGATTCTGTGATGCAATTAGTTTTTCTCTAATATAAGAACTTCAACGTTTCCAGATAAGGCGATTTCGTAACTTCCAGACACGTGCCTTTGTTCATTACGTCCTTGTTATCTTTTTCACGTTGAGTTTAATACTGTTTATAATTCCTCAAATGTATTGTTCATCGCAAGATTTTGGCAATCATTCGCAATAGCTTCAGACATTTTGCATACCGATGTAATTGCCCATTCAGTCTACAAACGAGAAGGCTTTGCTCACGACAAGATTAGACAAGTTTCCTAGCCAATTAATAAAAGGGTCTTGTTTAATGAAACTCGAATATTTTTGCCACCAATTGAACAAGGAAATGTACTCCGTTGTTTTAAACGGTTGTCAAGGAAGACTTGTTGCTAGGGACTGTTCATTATTTATACCCTCGGTTGGTACCGAAGAGAAGCGAAAAACAGTGTAAATGTTTTATTTACCCAACCTCAATATTGGTCAAAATAATGTTTACCCAACCCAATATGTGTTATTGTACTTCATAATAATTAAACACACACGCCTGATTATGGTGACAGAAATCAAGTTGCCTATATTAGACAATTTAAAATTTAAAATTCTAAAAGCACACTCAAACTCACTGAGTGTGCCAAAGCAATCCCGTTCCTGCTGATCAATGATAGAGTCCTTCCTCGATCACTGACGGTCTATTTTGGTACAGAATGTATTGTACACATTTTTCTTCATATTTTCCAATGCATGGTAATTTTGGTTTTATTTTATAGCTGACAGACAGCCATAATTTTTTCTACCCAACCCATGAGCTAGTCAAAAACTTGATTACCCAACCCATATCTCTTCGGTACCAAACCCCGGGTATAAATAATGAACGGTCCCTTAAACACAAGAGCGAGTCAGAATTCACCAAGGAATTAAATATATAAAACTTGGCAATGACTTGGATGAGGGTTACATATATACTCAGAATACTCTTAACGCATCTGACTCGTTCACATCCACCAGAAGAAGGATATCGCAGTAAAATTTGCAAGAGTGCATGTAAACGGGCTTTAAGATTTTTGATTGAGTTTCACGGAAGCCACTTAATAAAAAAAATATATATATATTTGTCGACATCTCGAGGCGAAACGGCCCTTCGTTACTACCTCTCCAGGGGAAGACCGTTTCTTCGAAACATCCAGATGTATATTTTTTCCTGTTCAGATATACTGGCTGTTGTAAAACCTTGCAATTATAGTCTTAAACACGAGGTCTTACATACGTAACTAAATATATAATTGTGAGAGTGGGCAGGACTGTTATCGTCTTAAAATGTAGGAAGTGAATGAACAATATGAACGACTAAAAATCGCCCTCCTTTAAAATTAAAGTCTCGCTTAAGTCTGATCCGAAAGATTACTATATTTATCAGTGTCAAAATTACTTTTCAATCTAAAAAGTCAATCGGTCAACAGAAAAATTCAAGTAATTGTTCAACGAATTGTCCAATTCTTTAAACTATAAACGAATATAGCGTTCAGTTAGCTCGTTCCAACATTTCGCCAATATACTGTCTATGAAACAAGTCCAATGTCGGTGGAAACATTCAAAATTTAACTCCAAAATAGTTTAGCAAGGCCCGGGCCACTAAACATGGCAAAAAAAACTATCACCGATGTTTACACAGAGCCTATTATACGCGTTACATGTTACGGAACTGGCGAAACCTTCCAGGTATATAATATGAAACCAATATCAAGCAATTATTTTCTCACGCTATATAAGGGGTTCTTGTTTTCTTCCGTGAGGGGCAATGATTACTTCTTTACCATAAATGCAGTATTTTTCACACACAGGACATTTCACATAGTCATTGGAACGCATTGCATTGTCATTGAATACTATATGTTAAGTATCTGTGACATTTCTACTAAATATGCACAGATTGGACTACGAGAATACATGCCTAAATAACTAACGAAGTTTGAATTCCTGTGGATTATTAAAACCACAATAGGAATAGGTCGACAATATTCCAGACAGTTTGTTAGAGACACTAACAAACATTGACCAGCTACTTGGAAACAATATTAGGTGTACGACATTTTGGGAGAAAAATACAGCCATAGGCATAGACGAGGATCATATAATCGATCGTTTAATCGGCACTATAAACCAGTTGTTCTGTAATCGAGTGTGGAAAATCCTACTGCAGGAAGATTAACGGAATAGCCATGATATGCAATCAGTTCTATAATCTATCGATAGTGTCTCATGTATAAGATACATATCTGATGTTATAACATTCAAGAGTGATCGTGTGAAGACTTGAGGTAACTTATTAGGTAATTTAGATAAGTATTCTTAAAGATGACATTTTAACAGTTAGGGGGGAATAACACGAATGGTATTAGCAAAGTTGTAAGTGATGTATAACTTTTGCCTCTGTGAACATGCATGGATCGATTCCTGTGTTATCGCCATGCAAACATACAAAGAACTTAATACGCAGTTGTTTGCATGATCATAATTTTATCTCAATATGTGAGAAGAGTGCTTTCAGCTGCTTGATTCTATCCAACACCACATGAGGAAACAGCAGTACCCGGAGACCACCTAGCTGCATAGTGTTTGTTAGAGTCAAACTGGAAGCATTCTTCTCACATGTGACTGAGGTGAAATTTATAATCACACAACTGTATCATCATCGAATGCCTGTTCACAGAGTTGAAACTTGAAAGACACATATACACTCACTGCTACGCCACTACGCTCACCAAAAACCTCAACAGAACCGTTGTAGTATAACTCTCAAACTTACGACTTGCAATGTAATTAAAATTTCAATTAAATATAACGTAATAATTAAACTGTTAATTAAACAAATTTTTCCTGCTGTACTCCTTTAGTTTAATTGTAATACCAACTTCAATTTAAAGACATATTTTGAAGAAACCCTGGATGGCCATACGGTCATTAACCTATACCCACGCTAACCCTTGATTTGAAAATAATGCTCAAGTACAAATGCGTAATTTGAAGAATTAGGACCGCCTAAATCCTGTGAAACAGGAAAACAACGGATAAACACGGCAATCCCCAAAACTTAATGTGCACATTAAGGCCGCAAAAATTTTACCGAAACTTTTTATGGAATAGCTGGGCTAAAATTAAAACCAAGTAAATTAGAAACTTATTTAAAGAGACTATATAATGATCATTATTTTGTAGTTATTGGTATAAGGATGAAAGGAAATAGACTAAAAATCAAAGTTACTTTGTGGACAAGTACCGGAACACTTTGGATGCTTGATCTCTATAAGTTAACTTTTATGCAAGGGAAGCAGTATGCTGGGTTAATTTTCTCACAGATATACGTCTCATATATATTTAAACGCGCATCAAAAAGGCTTTTCAGTATGTCACGAGAGGTCAGAGAGATTCTTAAATCCTTAAAGACCTTTTAAGAAACTGGAAAGCCAATATGGGTATATCTTTTTACGTTATGCATTTTTTATCTTTAAAAGAGCTAAACACTTGTATACTGAACTGACTAGTGTACAAGAAGCTAAATTATAAACTGCGAATTCGGCTTTGTCTCTCGTTGGAGGTACAGTAGTTAGTTTACACGCTCTCATTAGAGAGCATTTTAGAATTGATAGGGCTATGCGGTATATATTATAGTTTAGTTTCGATGTACTAAAACTGAATCAAACGATCCTTACTCGACCTCTAGGGAGAACAGTTTAGAAATTATGTCCAGCAGAAAGTTTATCGAGTCAGTTAATTACATGGCATTCTAACTAACGACATATTTCTTTTTTCAGTTGCGAAGACAAAACGAAATAAAATGGCTCAACAAAAGACAACACGTAAATCTGGTGAGACCAATCTTCATAGCAATATCACGCAGTCACAATCATTGCTGAATGTCAACGAACTCGAGACTCGCGCCAAGGCTACGGTCAAAGATATCAATGAACTGTACACCGCGTTACAGGGACTGGTACCTACAAAGAGCCCTCACAACAGACGGCACGAAATGGATAAGAGCAAAGTTCGCTCGGTTACTAGTGGGACTGATACGGACACGGCCAGATCTTCGGAGGAATGGGACCAACCTAGACTTCGAAGGCATCATAGTGAGAACTATGCAAATAAACAATTGAGAGACACCAATATGAACTTCATCGCGGCACCAAGAAAACCTGTTTGGGAAAAACCTGTACTAGAAAAACCGGTTTTGGAAAAGACTTTATCGGATGAACGGCTATTCGTCTCCGACACCGAAGTGGAGCTGAACAACACTGGCACAAATGAACACAAAACGATACAAAGGCATTTTTCTTTGCCCGCTTACGAAGAAGAAGAAGATTCTCTGAAGACTTCGAACGAAACAGATGGCAGTACCAAACGGTCAAAATTTTCGCTCTTCCGTCGACACCGACGGTCGAAACCTGGAAAGAAAAAAAACTCTAGTTGGAGATCGTTTTTCTCAACGCTCAGCCTTAAGCGGAGAAAATCGAAGAAACATGGTAAAAATAAAGTAGGACATGGTATTACTACGAAGGCGGGACAGAATGATGGCATGAAAACACCGAAACATGTAGCAAAGAATGTAAGCGTGCCCATAGAGGATCGCAGCCCAAAATCCACTCCGCGGCCTTCGATTGATGTAGTCGAGAATATCGGTAGTAACTCCGACATTCGGAAATCGGGAAGAAAAAGGATGGCTCCAGAACCTCCTGTGGGGACATCAAGTGGTAACACCGGCTTCCAACTGGAAGCAGCAAGTATCGAACCCCGTGAGCGCTGCGATACGTTCGGAACAAAGTCTGTTATGGTGCAAAAGAAGTTCACTGCATGGTACAAGCAAGCGGTCAAGGAGACTAATAGTTCCACACTGAAGGAACCACTGCGCGCGACACGTTCCCACGAGAACCTGCTGACCGATACTGAAATTCTCCGTAAACGTGGCACTTTTAGTTCTGATACGGACAGTTTTAGTGGCGGCGATAGAAACAGGGTGCAGAATGTACCTAGAACCAAAGTGCGAAAAACACGTGCTAGAAGAAATCGAAGGAGAGAGCGAGCAAGGTTTCATTCGTGTCCGAATGTGAAGCTCGTAACTAAAGCTCTCGATGAGGCTGAAAAGAAGGCTAATAGCCCTCAAGTTCCGGCAGATTTGAACGCTACTACTACAAAGGGTGACTGTACTGATAATGTCTCACAAACTAACCATACATGTATTACAACTGTCAAACCAGTCGAAGCTAAGCTGTCGTTTGGCAGCAGTTTGGACAACAATGAACACGTCACAGATTTGAAATTACAAAATGGTCATGCGCGAAATTGGATGACACGACAATGCTCTAAAACAACCATAGGGTGTATACGACCATTACAACTGAACTTGTTCTATTCCGAGTCGCCGTCGCGCGAGACTGTGCACAGGTCACGAAATACGATCCACAGACCGGCGAGAGTGGAAGGGCAAGAGTCGGGCGCTGGTAACCCGCAAGAATTTGCTTTCAAGATCCGTCGATCTTGGAGGAGTCGTCGAAAGCGACGTAGCTTCAAACGCGGGCAGACTAGGCTTCCTCATCAATCACCGTTCTATGTCCCTCCTGTTACCCTCAACGTGATCCAAAAAGACCAACCCGAAGAGGACTGCTCTACTATGTCCAAAGATTCAGGTCTCGGTTCTCCCGTTGCAACCCACGACAAACGATTCGGTACGTTTCCAGTTATGAAACGGGATCAACGATTGGCCAAACTACACTCCGAGTCGGAAGACTCCGGATGGGCTTCGAGTCACCGACATTTCGCGAGCACCTCCGACACTGGCATACAGACAGACCCGGTCATTGTCATGACCGCTGTCTCCAAAGTTCGCCGACCTGTATTACCTCACGTGATTACTGAAGACAATAGCCAATCAGAGGCTTGAAGATTCGGGATTACTTCGTGTAGGTTAGAATATAGAGGACTTATAATAGTGGACTTATAATCTACAATGCGAAAGCCACTTTAATGACTTACTAATAAGCTAAGAGTCAGGCAATTGATAGTACTAAGTGTCAGCCTAATATTAGCTTAAATATTAGCTAATATTAAACATAAGTTAAATATAAGTTAAATATGACTAAATATAAACTTCGCAGTTAAATATAAGCAGACACAATATAGGAAGGCAAATTGAGAAACTGCCCAACGCTTGTACCATACAGTTCCCACTTAACAACTTGGGATAATTCACATGCCTAGTCACTATTCTTCCAATATAACAAAGCATTTAGAACAGATCAAAGTGAACATGATTAGAATCAATGCGGAGAATTCTAATACCTAGTTTATAGTAACTAAGGCAGGTGGTTTATCCAAAGTTGGAAATAGGACAAATTTGACTTAATAGCAGTGGCGGAATATTGGGGGCGGTGGGGTGAATAAGGCAGCCAACATACGACCAACTTTTGTAGCTAAAAATCTTCAGTTCTTAAAATTTTTTGTCTTAAATTTCATGTAATATTTAGCTTAATTTATATCCACCAATGTTTTCATGATTGAAAAATTGTTACAGCACGTAGTTATTCAGTTATCGTTCAAAGGCTTTAAGAAATTATTGGGAAGGCGGTTACCCTCTGCCCCCCAGTGTCCGTCACTGCTTAATAAACTGTCATCTGCAAGAATCTCTTTTGTATGCTAACGTGTGCATAGCAAGTCTATAACCACTGTGTATATGCCAGTCTAACGTATCCATAACGAAAGCACCGAACACAAACGCAATATGTCACGTTTTAACATGCTATTAGATTCTTGTAGTCAATGTGGACAAATGCAAAGACATAAAAAGTAATGGTAAATAAATGTCAGTACCAGCACGCATATATGTATATATAACATTACTATTTAATCAAATACACCACAAAACTGTATTTCTTCTCAGCATGTCCGTATTTAACTGATATTATATAATATTAACACAGCAAATGTATATCATATATATCGTAAATATATACCAAATATTTAATGTACACAATATATATATTTTCAATAAAAAAATAAAAATGTTATATATCAAGTCTGCGTGTATTGTATAATACTTTAAAAAATTCATTAATAATTCACGAGGAAAATACAAAAGAAATGAATGTTTAATCAATGTTTGTAAATCGGATAAAGATTTGTCCTGATTTATACATAAACTTCAGCTTTGATTTTCTCGGCTTAGACAATATTTATTTTTAAAATTACTTCGCCAATGAACTCATAAGATGGGTCATTTTTTAAGTACTAGATAAAACATTCGCATCCGATCTGTATCTGATATACAAACTCTCGCCTTCGGCTCGAGTTTGTATATCAGATACAGATCGGCTGCGAATGTTTTATCTAGTATATACAGGTGTCGTACTGCTCTAGTTTTTGGCGATTTTTAATCATAAATTTAGAATCAATGAGAAAGCTCTAATTAGCCCTATTAGGAGACATTGATGATCTGATTGTCGCGTCTCTGGAGTGGCATCTCGTGACCTAGCGCAAAGCGCTTATTGGCTGACTAAATTGAAACTTTTGAAGTGCAAGTCAATTGATATTGTTTTGCGTACTAAAAACAGACAAATATATTTCAGGCTAATTGGCGTGCTCACAACACCGATCTGGTCCCATTTCTTCTTGAGGAAAGTTTTGAAGTTGAACATCCTTATATTTTTTTCATAATAGCCATGCTTTTTTTGGCAGATCTAAACGTAACTGGCCGTTTCTCTAGTCTTAAATGCGCGTAGAATACGTTTTCACATGACGTAATGTAGAGTAAAACAAAACATCTAAAGTATGGATGCTAGAAGATATTTATACAAGAACGAAAGAAAGTGAAGAAGAGCCGAAATGTCTAAGAGGCTCCATGCAAAACAAAGACGGTAGTGATTTGTGCGCATAATATAATGAAGTGTCAAATATTAAATCGTGTGAACGTTATTTATACTGGATAGCTCTAACTGTTCTAAACTGTTCTTCAAGAGTCACGTGAAATGAGTGCTTCAAGACTCTCCCAAACGCAGTAGTTTTTCTCCAGGGACCAGTTGTTCAAAGCTAGGTTAGCTTAACCCTATAGGTTAACCTAAAATTCAAAACAAACTTCCTGACAGCATGTCTATAAATTTGGAAATATTTCTTCAGAGATCTAGTCTGGATCGATGGGAGTTTTCTTCTCTGAAATTTTGAATTAAACAAACGTGCAGAAATACACGAACCAAAACAACAGGTTAAATTTTAACCCAGGGTTAGCGCTAACCCACCTTTGAACAACCGGCCCCAGGTTGCTTCCTACTGTGGAAGCCCGTCTCCCCCCCTAATGCCTGCCACCACTAGTATTGATTCTGATTAGTTTTATCCAATGTAACCAGAGGCAAGAGCAATACAGGAAGAGATATCATATAATTGTTCTTACTGGAAATACAGACTAAATAAATATAATGAAAGGTTATATACTCTTCACAATTTTCGTATTGTTTGCTTCTAGCAAATTTTCGTTCATTTAGTATTATAAAAATTATTGTAATTATCTACACCTCTCATTACTATACGAGTTTGCCATCATCGTCATCAAACATATTTTATTGGTTCTGGCTTGGTTTAACATTCTCAACTTTTGAAAATGGTAGAAGCGTAACCAGGATTATTCATATTAATAGTTTAGACGTTCTCTGTTTTTTAATAGACTGCAGAGACTGGCAGTCCAAAGCTCGTTTAATAAAAATTTAAAACCCAGAGAACGTCTAAACTATTAATATTCTCAACTTTCTCATATAAAACCGCACATAGATAATTTTTTGCGGTTGTCTATTTAATAGGCCATCTCCGAATTACGCTCGAAAAAGCCCTAGAACGAAGTTTCGCGTCAAAGTAGTCTGTTTCTAATGAATACACGATGCCTCGGCGTTATTGTTCTTGAAAACTAGAGCATAAGTCAGAATGGCCTATTATAGATACACAGAGGAACTCCCCCCCCCCCCCTCGGGGCCTTGCTATTTTATGACGTTATATTGTGTATCGATAACTGACCAGACAACGGCAAAATTTTATCTATTTGTTAAATAGATCTGAGTTAAGTTACAGGCCTGGTATTATATATAGAGAGAGCAACGAGTCAAACGAGTCAACCGAGTCAGTTGACTCGGTAAGATTTTTTGTGAAAAAATTCAAAACAGGAAGACTTCAAGTTTCGAGAAAACAGTTCCTGGATGAAATTTATTCAATTTCTGACGAAGGGTAGAAGTACGAATTAGCGTCCCAAATATTACCACAATTTACTATGTTTTTTATTATGCACCTGATCATGTTGGACCAAGAGGACTTGAATTCTTATGACTGGATACTTGTAGTACAATGGTGAGACACACTTCATGAGATTGATTTTTTTCTCAAAACTGCTCCCAGAATGCAGGAAGACTATATATATATGTATATATATGACTCTAATTATAGTCATTGTGTCACTGTTTATCATTACAGATTTTTTGTTAATTAAAATTGCCCTTCCCAGAACGCAGGAAATAGCGTTTCTAAGACTTAGAAAATCAAACATTTTCTGGGGGAGCATGCCCTGACGACTCGACTCGATAAATCTAAAATCCTAGTTACGGGCCTGTTATTACTGAAGTAGAATCTTCACCAATTTCAGGCCAAACCTCAAACCAAAGATGGCGGATATTGCCGTCCTTACGCAATCTTACTTTAATAATAACAGGTCCTATTTTCATATTAATTCTAATATTCAAAGTATTTAATAGAATTAATACGAAAATAGATATCACTGAGAATGATTTACGGTTAGACAAGTTGATGGCAAACACGATGTCCATAGGCTTGATTATTTCATAAAAATATTCACTATATGCTAAGATTTATACAGTATTGTCACTGTCTAAATTGTTTAGAGCATAAAATTCATTAATTCGGTCAATAAGTGGGCTCAATGTGTCCGTAAATTCCTTTATATCATGAAGTACATCTGACTCCGGTGCAACTCCGCTGTCCGTTGAACCGAGGGCCTTCACGAAATCTTTCCAATACGGCACAGCCTTCACAGCCATCTTATTAAAAAAATTAAATTATAAAAAATAAAATTTAAAAACTAATTCAGAGCAATGCGTTAGCACGAAACTGTATGCGTTAGCGCGGTACGCATCAGCATGTTGTTGCGTGCGCACGTTTGTGTCTTATGCTTCAATAAAGCAAGCCGTTAACATCATCATGGGTTAGTTTGGGTTAGTTTTCTACACTAAAACTTCAAGATGGTTAGAACACAATATAAAAAATCTTCATTGCTGATTGTATTTCGGTTAGTATGTATAGGTAATAGCATGGTTTCGAGTGCAATTTGGATATAACATGCACGAGTGAGTTTTTCAAAGACCTCAAAGCTATTATACTTATTAATGATTTACATAAAAATGTTCGAGACAACTGATTGGTTGATTTTATCATCACATTGTTTTTCCAACAATCAGATCAGTTTGTTACAGATTTTTGCACTGTGATTACAGAAAATTGCACTGCTGTTTGGGATTAACTGCACTGAAATCAACCAATCACAGTCGAGTAATATCTTTATGTATATTAAAAATGGGTTAATATCAGAGCATAAAATCATTATGTCAAGTATGTAAAATTTCTAATTATTATACTCCCAAACATGATCTATGACTGCGTCAATTAATCAGAAAGATAATACGAAAATGACTATAATGCATTACAACAGACCAAAAGAAGGTAAGAATGGTGAACAGAAAAACAAGAATTATTAAAATTACAACAATAATGCATGTACTGCATGTACTCGAGGCAAACTGTGATTGTGGCAAACATATCGATCAAAGAGTGCGAAAAATAGAATTATATCATATAAAATTGCACGACTTTATGGGAATAACTTTTTCTTCTGTCTCACTTCGAAAGATTCCAGTGATTTCTCCAGTTCATCCAGAAAATAACACAACCTGTCAACTGAACGCAATGTTCTTCTTCCACGACATATTGTCATCATTCCTTGGTATCTTGCTTTTCAAACTCCGTCGTATGACTTCACAATCTCTTCAGTTATCCGCCATTTTGTTCTGCCATGTTGTTCCGCCATTTTGTTCCTGTTTCCGAAGAAAATTTCGAAAGTGCGTCCGCGCATGAACTATATTTTTGTTTCAATGTGTTGTAAAGCAGTGTGGTTTGAATGAGGTTCTAGGCCTTGAAGGTTGCTATTTTATAATGCATGTTTGTCTACACATATAACTTAAATACCGTATAACATTTTTACATACCGCGAACACCCCTCGGACCATCCAACCGTGGTATTTCCGTAAAGTTTTTGAATATGCATTAGCTGGAATATAAGAAAAGAGATACTTATTAAAACGTAATGCAATCTAATCGACTGGTGCTCGCCCCTAGTTGACTCAGAAAGCTAAGAAATGAGCAGCAAGATTTCTCAAAGGCTAATCTGTAGTGAAGTAATGCCTATCGGCTTATCAATTCATAAGAATTAATATGACAAAGCAACTTACAAGCAACCACGACTAATTCTCTCTCGCCTTTATTGATCTCCATTAGGAATGCATTCGTAAATTGTAATGCTCTGAAAAGAGAACAGCAAATGCTATACTTGATGTTAAAAAATTCCGAGATTTTTTTTAAATTTCCGAGAATTTTTTCTAAATTTCCGAGAATTTTTTTTACGTACTGATACGTTCTTATAGTTGGCAATTGCAACCGCCAATGCATGGTAATTAGCATATTTCAATTTGCTTTATTTCATATTGAAATGGTCAATACCTCTTCAACCACAGAAGAGCATCAGTTGCCGAGTTTTTGGCAGTACACGTATTCGAATGAATTTCGAAACTTATCATCGATTGAAGTGTTGCACACGACTGTCTGTCATTATCGTATTTTGATGTCAGTTTCTGGAATTAGAGAAAAAACACCAGTTATCCAATGTAAGTACAGAACCAATAAAGATTGAATATCGTCATCACACGGCCCACACCTTAATATTTCCACTGATGTCGAGCTTGACCGGAGCGAACGCAGTAGGTCCAAGGACATCTGGGAAAAGCAAAAACGAAAACATAAATCTCAACATGCAGAAAATCTTGTCGGAAAAGAAAATGAGTATAAATTATGCTTACCAAAAATTGGTAGGATTGAATTACACGCAAGAAGGAACGATTTCGTCGGTATATCACCATTCTCCAACACTTCAACTGCTATGAATCTAAAATAACGAAAAAATGAGAATTTTTTTTTATTTTTTATTTAACTTTGCCAACTAGGGCAGGGTCACCACAACAGCATATGCCAATTACTATGGGCCCTTTTTACCTAACCCACCCTTTTTAGAATGAAATGTAACAGGTTATAATTGATAGTTTTACGCACAAAACTAACGATATTATTAACACGAAAAAATATAGCGGTTTGTTCCGTTATTTAAGTTATAAATGCTGAGCAGCATTATGGCTAAATAGAAATCAAGTTTGCAAACGCCATTATACCAGGTGCTAGGGGTCTAGTGTACATAAAATGAATATCTATCAGACACACTGTACCATACCTGTTTGGAGCAGTTGAGAATGTTGTTGGTGCTGTAGTGATTTCTTTTTCTTTGGCAAATGTTTTGCTCAGGTTCACTGTTATATTCTCCTTGGTTTCATTTGCCCTTTCATTCGTACCAGAAACCTCATTTGCCTGAGAGGAATGGTCCTGCTTGGTCTCAGCATTTTCTAAATGAATGGAAAGAATGTACTTATGGAATGGAATTTGTATTGAGAACAACATTTCTTGTGGAAACAAAGTTATGTTTGTTAACAGAAATAATTTATCGTTTCAGGCACAAATAAAGCAGTTGCTTGCTCAAGCAAAGAACATTCCTATTGCCTTCGAAGCGGAAAAGAGTGTTATGTAACCAGGGACATGATTTCATTAAGAAAACATTCATAAATAGATGTCTTCAGTCTTTTTAACTTTGTATAGAACTGTATATACTTTTCATATATTTTAATACTTTTAATACTATCTAGTCCATAGTTGTACAAAATTATCTATGTAAGCTCGCACGGTTGTTGCGCAGTATTTTCTAATCAATCAATCAATCAATCAATCAATCAATCAATCAATAAACATTAACCCATTAAGTTACATTGTTCCCTAATGTGCCCTACATGTAGCTACTTTAGTATTTTGCTCTGCCTAATGCCAGACAATTTTACTTACCAAGGGGAGAGCTTGAGCTCAATGGGTTAAAATTAAACAAGCCAAAAAAACATACCAGGAAACGAGGATGGACTTTGTGGATTGGAACTCGGTGGAGAAGGTGATGACGAATGCGGAGATACTCTGTAAGAAATGAATATGAATATGAATGCATGCATGACAAGCCATTATCAAAGATTAGATACTATAAAGATGTGCCACTCGACGTATTTCCCTAATGTTTGCGTGTCCGTAATTTTCACTTACTGCCAAAATGGCGGCGAGACTGATGGCGTTGGATTTTACTATTTAGAGACTGATGGCGTTGAATTTGACACTTACTGGCAAAATGGCGGCTATAAAAAAATCTCGGACATAATTTTCGCTGAGTGGCACATCTTTATAGTATCTAATCTTTGCCATTATTATTTTATTTGATGACTTGTATGTCATGCACTGCATGCATATATGTCTGATTCACCTTGTTTGTCAGTTGTTTTGTTTGTTTGTCATCCTGTTTGTTTGTTTGTTTCAGCCAATGGCATCTTACCTATTTGCTTGTTTTGACTGCACTTTGTTGGGCAAATTAATTTTTGGTGTGTTGAAATTCTGCAAAGAAATGGAAAGTGCATAGTACAGAAATAAAGAAGTTGGTAATAAAACAGGGAAATTGGTAACAAAACAGGGAAATTGGTAAGTTAGCTTAATCCTGAGTTGAAAAACTTCAAAGAAAATTTCCGAACAAAACTTACTTTATACACTTGAAACTATATCAAAATTCTCTTTAGTTTTGAAATGAACATTCACACACAAATACACAAACAAAAACATTACGTTAAATATATTAACCCAGGGCATTTGCTTATAGGGCTTTGGACAACCAGCTCCAGAGAAGAAAACATACAGAAAGTTGATTCAAAGGATATTATACTTGGCATTACCTTGTGTTGAGGAGCCAGAGGAGATATTGGAGAAGAAAGTGGTGTACCTAGAGAAATATTAAGAACCACCATGTAAACAAAATCTTCTCGCAAACTCCTAGCTCGATTTCAAGAAATGATAATCTGACAACTCATCTGATCTGTGTGTATGAACTTGTAAAATACATGTGTCAACTGCCAACTTTCTGTCTGTACAACAACTAATCTTTGAAAAATTTACCTGTGCCAAACTTGTGCTCAGCCATTTTTACACAGTCTGATAGATTGGTTAGAAAAGCATCGCATGTTGCCGATAAGAGAGTGGCTGCTTCTTGAAAGTCCTACGAACACAGATACAGACACACTTTGTTTTAGCAAGAAATATAACAAAACGAGTGTCTTGTATATGCATAAATTTATCATCAGCGACATAGTTAAAGTGCAACTAACCCCTGACATGATTTTTAATATATATGTAATATTTGGGTCATTCAAAGAAGAAATGTAATATATCTTTATAATAAAAAATCCCATCTTGATCAACTTTTTTGCTGTCAAAGTTTACGGATATGATGTCATTAGGTGAATTGCAAATTAGTTTTCCTTTGTTTTTTGTACCAAAAATTTACCTAATGACATCATATCTGGAACTTTGAGAGTGAAAAAGTTGATCAAGATGGTATTTTTTACTATAAAGATACATTGCACTTCTTCTCAGAATGACTCAAATACTACACATACCAAAAATTCTATTTGGGGTTAGTCTCACTTTAATTGATCATAGACATAGAGGAAACTTCAAACTTACATGCACTTTTTCCTTGTCTTCACATAAATTTTTGATTGAATTAATCTGATCCAACAAAATGTTTTTGCAAACATGCATTTCCGACATCTTTTCATGCAGTGTCTGCCGAGGTTGTGGTGCTTCAACTGTTAGGAGGAAAACGGTCATTAGCAAACATAACATATTACACAAAGAAATTCAAAAGGTATTACAAATAAACCTAAGCCAAAACTACTGTATGTGTGCATATTTAATTTAAGTGCTGTTCTCCAATTATTTTGTAAATTAGGAAAGCTGTAAAGCTGTTTACCATGACGACTCTTTTTTGTTGTTTCTGGTGTATTTCCTTGTGTAAGACAAGCTTTAGAAGATCCCAATGCAACCAGCCATTGTTGTCGTTCGCTTGCTGTTGTGGCCTTGATGTACATATACTGATCTGGAGGAAACTTCAAATTGATTCGCAGTGAATCACCAACTTGCACTGCAAGAGAACCACAAATAATTAATGTATTCTGTGCTCTGCATGGTTTTCATGGGATGGATTTACTGTGGGGTGCAAGGGTAAACACACCCTTCCTAGCCTTGGCAAGGGGGGAAGTGGGGGTAGCAATTTCCTTATAGACTGGACTTAAACCTGGATGGCAAACTATGTACATGTACATTGGATTGGACAAGGGCGGACCAGAATAGACTACACTGAACTGAACTGGACAGCCTGGAGGCCAAATATCACTGGAATCTATCTGACTGAACACGAATGGTTTGCACCAGCGTAGGTAGTGGCAACAACACCAGAAGGCTGCGGTTTGAGAAGGTTTCAAGCCGACTGGCCTAGAGTAACTTAGAACAAGATCAAGACAATAAATTGTTTACCTGTGACATCACAACATCCCATTTTCACTGATCCACGACATCCCAGTTGAATATCGTCTTGAGATTTATAATATGACAGCACGCCAAAATCAAGGACAAACCATCGCAACTGCCAGCCTAGTTTCACATATATATGGACACTCATTAAGGGTGCTTACAGTATATATACCTTACCCAACTGATTACCTATTAAAAGGAAATGGCAATATATTTTTTTATTTTCTCATTTGAAGGAACTTTTGAAACTATACATATTAACTTCTTTTGCCGATTTTTCATATCTTGCTTAGTTCTTGAAATATTTTCACTTGAAGTAACAAAAAGTCCGCCATCTTAGATAAATTTTTTATCTCATTAATGGTAGTTTTGGTGACGTCACAACAGGGATTAACCATATAAAGTATTCGTTGCTGACCAAATATTGATTGGTAGATATTTTAAAGGTTTTGAGTGATCCTGATATTTCGAAGGGCAGACAGAGTATAGTTTTGAGTGCAAACTGATTAGTGGTTGTCTAGATAAAAATATTGCATGACCCCTGTTGTGACTATGTGACATGCATATCTACAAAAATTGAAGATGGCGGACATTTCATTCCTTTCGATCAAAATATTTGTAGTAGTAAGCAATATATGAAAAAAAGGTAAAAGAATAGTCTTAAAAGCTCTTTCAAATGAGAAAATAAAAGAATATATTGCCATTTCCCTTTAGGCCACTACAAGTTAATCTTTAGTTTCTGGTCCGCCGCCCGCGTCCTTCCTCCGCAAAGTATTATTTCAGGACTATTTTGTTGTTTACAATTAATTTCTAGTTCTTGAAAATTTTCGCGAAGGATTTAACTTATAGAACAATAAATATCCAATTTACACTAAAAAGACCTAGCAAAATGAAGTATTGAAGGGTATTAAAAACCACTGCGTTTTAATTTGGCCATGCACAAGATTAAAAAATTACGAAAAGAAAAAATTAGAAATAAATCATTTTGATATGTAAAATCCTTTTTAATCTGTCATGCATGTCGATTTTTAAATAATATAAATGCAATTATGTAAAATTTTATAATATTTTGATGAAAAGAGACAAAAAGGATCACAAAAATGTGGGCAAAGCCACAATTGTAGTTATGTCCTATAGTCCTAACCACCCGCCCGCCCGCATCGTAAACGAAGGTAAAGGCGGACCAGAAACTAAAGATTAACTTGTAGTGGCCTTAAGTTGTGTTGTGCGTAAGGTGAGATATCACATTACGCACAATTACACAACGAGGGGGGCATTGGGGGGTATTCAATACCGTAATACAGCAAGCAAATTTTGTCAATTACCACAGTTTTTGAGTCCAAAATTGCAAATACTGTGAACCGCAAGATTTCCAATACCGTAATACCGCAATTTGTCAAGGAAAATACCGAAATACCGTAAGAAATTAAGCTAATACCGCCATACCGTAAATCCCAATGTCCCCCTCTACAACTAATGTGTAAGACGACCAATGCGCAAGTTGAGATGTCACCTAGCCAGCATTTGTATTTCTTATGTGAACACAAATTGAGTTTTATATAAATTGAATTTTTTGTGAGTTTCCTTGTTAGTTCCTTAGAACTTAGTTTATAGAATTTGCCAATTTGGTATATAGAATGACAAATATTTTGCTCCCAATACAAATAATCAAAATAAGAAACAGTACAATACTGACAAATAATATAATTTGTACTGTTTATAGAAAAACATGCGGGATATAATTAGCGCAATAATTAACAATATAAAACATTCATATAACCTGCAAAAGAGCAGCATAATTATAAAATTAGTTCTGAAGTTCTGAACTAAAGTACATTTTGTACCAATATTTATGGAAATATATAGCAAGCAAAGCTTTATAACACGTTGAAAATTGTCTTTATATCAGCAAAAAAATAGCAATTACAGTTTGTAAATATGAGAATTTAAAGCAGCGTTCTACATGAAGCCATGAAGGCTTTTGCTTTTATATAAAATTATACTCACCGCTAACATAATTTGTCCATTTCCACAGAGCTCCTTCCATGTAGGGCATTGCAAAACAACTCTTAATGATTGTCTTGCATGATTCTCGAATCTTACAAGGGCTGTCAACTCGAAGAAAGGGCGAAAATGCAACTAATCAACAAGATGCCACGTTGCCGCCATCTTGGTTCTGGCGGTTTGGAACTTAAGGCAGTGTGACCAGGTTTTTTCAGGGTTTCCATCCGGTTTCGAAAATTACTATTCTCGGTCTAAAATTACCACGGTGCTACATTTTTTCGATATTTCCCCAAAAATGTTGGCGAGCGGGGGCGGGGGGGGGGGGGAATTTTCCGGAGAACAAATTTTTCCGGAGAACCGCCTCGTAAATTAGGGTCTAAAAAATTTTTCCGGACAAATAACAAGTGTAAAACAAAAAAAAGGCCAAAACCAATTTTTTTAACCTAAAACAAGGCCAAAACCAAAATCTGTAAAATTTAGGGTTTTTTCACCAAAATCTGTACATTTAAGGTCAGGAAATTTCAAATTACCACAATCGGCCGAAATTGACGAAAAATTACCACGGTAGTTCTGAAATTACCGTAGTAATTACCACAAATTTCCAATTACCACAATCGTCCACTTGAATGACGAAAAATTACCACGGTAGTAATGAAATTACCACATCTGGTCACACTGACTTAAGGTGGCTCTGTAATGTCTACCCTGCATGCAAACCATATAACAGTCGTCTGCTGAACTGCACAAGTAATCGTGTTTTGTGACGTGCATTTAGGAGGTTAAACGGGTTTATTCGTTTAATAAAGCTCTTATCACGGCTTCAATGAACATCCAAAATAACATTTCACAGTTAGGTTGGTGAATTAATTTTGATTTCTATGTTTTCTGCCATCTTTATTTTGAAATTCAAATACATTGTGGTCTAGCAAAGGTAATAAAACCGTAATATACGTTTTCATATTATTACGAACGCACGTAAAAACGCACAAGTTGTTACGAGACTGCAAACAAGTTGTTACAAATCTGTTCACAAGTTGTGTTCGCACTGCTTGTTCCCAGTTGTTGTAACAAGTTTGGAACAAGCTGTTAACAACTTGTGACAAGCTTGATGGCATTATCAGACTTGTCACAAGGTTGTTCTAACAAGTCTGATATAGCCATGATAAACAAGATTGTTATAAGGTTGACGACGCAAGGTTGTAACAATACTGCTATATCATGACTGTATCGGATTTGTTGGAACAACCGTAACAAGTCTGATACTGGTAATATCAACAAGGTTTTTACAAATTGTTAACAGCTTGTTCCAAACTCGTTGACAACTTGTAATAAGCAGTGCGTCTTGTTGACAAACTTGTTACAAGATGTGAGATTTTTGCGTGTGAAAAATAACATTAATCCAACAATCTAATGTCTTTCAAAAATAAACTATATATATCTTGTGCTTTTTGTTCGCTGCGTTTATACACGAATTATCGGACGACTAGGTTCGTCCCTGGTTCGTCAAGACGGATATATATCAGGCCATTATTTCTTCACTGTCCATGAGACTTGGCAATCTTACTTTTTGCTTCTAATACCTTGACCTTATCAGCACTAGTTATATCGACAACTTTCGAGTGCACGTCATCGGTTGCCTTGGAAACCTTGACATCCATGGGACCTTTGGATTTGATCAACTTCTCTTTGCCCTTAAAAACCACCCCGTTCAGTACATGGTCCCTGAGTTCGCTCGAGTCCCCTATGGGACGGCCATTTACTTTCAAAAGAACACCATGAGTTTTACGACTTGGGTGACTTATCTTATCTTTTTGAGACAACTGATCACCTGGGGGTTTTTGTAGCATATAGCTGACTTCGTTTGGTGTCATTGCTTGCGCTTGTGACCCTCCAAGAGTAAAACCACCCGAGTTAACTTTCATAGAAGCCGAGCGCATTGGTGTGGTTTGAAAATTGGAGTCCGAATCACCAAAGACCTGTTTAGGTGCATGCCCCCCGAACATAAACACACTTCGATCATTTGAATTATCAGCGTGTTCGCCGGCCAGAGCTTCGCCCAGCAAAGGCATCAGGGTTCTTTGGCTCGCTCCTTGCCCCGGCTGGACCATAGGATTACCTAAGAATGCTTCTGGCATCTGCATCGTACCGGAGAGTCGCATGGGTAGCCCGAGGCCGCGGTTTTCCGATGTGTAAGTCGGGTCGTTTCCTGGCAGCATATCGTAGAGACGTTTCCTCGTCGCGGCGATTTGTCTTTCTTCAGAACGCATTTGTGGTGAATTTCTATAATTATATCGATCACCATCATCATCACTCTCATCATCAAAATCATCGTCATCATCATCATCCTCGTCTTCATCATCATCATCATCCGGATCATCGTCATCATCGTATCTTGCGTGATGATATCGAGGATTTTTATGCCTCAAAATGGGTCGTGTTGGTACATCCTTGTCTTCTAATGGACCATGATGGTATCTTATTTCCCCGGGAATATGACCAATATCGCGATACAACCCCTCATCACCTTTGTTATCTCTGAATAACTCTTCGTCACCCTTGTTATGCTTCAATATATCCCCGTGTCTCTCAATAATAAATGGTAAACGTGAAGTACCAAAGGGTTCATTGCTTGGCCCATCAGGAAAGACACCATATGAATGATATGATCGTAATGGTTCAGCCCTAGGGACTTGATTTTGTAATACCACAGGCACTAGTGATGTCATTCCTTTATTTTCCCGCATATTATTTGCAAGTTGTACAGACACTGGTTTTAATAAAACTTGTGTGCCTTTAGGCATGCGTCCCAAATCCCCGGATTCTTTCTCACGATGGAAATCATCCTCCGATGGGACAATTTTTTTCAAAGCGTTCAAAGGTATCGAAATAACATTCACCGATTTTTCGCCATCGTTCTCTTTAGAGTTTCCCAACACTCCATATAGTTTGTTAGTATTTCTGTCGGAAGCAACTGCCTGTATTTTTTCTGGAATTTTATAATCCGTGATCTTCTTCTCCTTCGACTTTTCCTTTTTCGGGTGTTCGTCGTCACTATGGAGTAACGTTTTGACTTTACCCAGTAAGGTTTTCATAAACTTGATTTGTCCTTTTTCGGGCATGTCGGATTTTTTCGTGTACCCGCGTGAAGGATTGTACACAAACGTGGCAGGATAAGTCTCATGGTGCTGCGGTATTTGTCTTCTCTTTGCTTCTTCATTTCTTAGAAAGGGTGCGCTTTCTGGCTGAAACTCGCCATTAGTTTCAATGTTTCCTATATAGGAAGAAAAGTTGCTGTGGTTAGCTGGTTACAATTATTTAAGCGACAGCGGATAAGAATTACATGGCGCGTGGTCGATAGCGCGTTCAGGCACCCCATAGACAAAGTAGAACTAAATTAACTTTATTAATACAGGAAAGCTCTATCAGTTATTAAGTTAGAACAGTTAAGACTCTTAACTGTTCTACCCAGTAACGAATATGACTTATTGGGTCAGAGTTACGACAGAGAAAAAACGGAATATTATGATTAAACCGCAAACAAATAAAGTGTACCTACCTAACGGAGCGCCGGAACAAATATGGAAAATTAACCAGAGGAACGCTGCCAATCTGCATCCGTAATTTTTAACCATCTTTACCGAAATTCATTGCACGAAAAACATCGTTAATTTTGTCAAAAACAACACAAAATTGTCGTTTGTTTACTACATTTTCAAAGTATTGTACGGTGAAGATTTTCAGTTCGAACCAAGCGAGCGAAATGATGTAATCTTTTAACAGCAGGTAGATAAATGCGCTGCTTGAGAGTTAAAGAACAACGTGTACAAAAGAATTAGGAACTAAATACGATGGAAATGTTTCTGCTATTGGAGAGATATAAAATTTCGTTGGTGAAATTAATGTGTTTTTGTAATATTTTTGTAAAGATATAGAGCGTAGTTGCGCTTGAGTTAGTCTCAGGCTGGTGGTTTACGGGTGGGTCGAGGTGCCCATCAGAAACTAACAGAGCTTAAATCCTACGTTAAATCTAGGTCATTCTCCTGCAACTTTTAACGCATGTTCTTAACACACAGAGCATTATTAATGTTCAGTAAAATGTGTTGGCCTACCCTAGATACATTCACATAAAACCAGACGAATTCGAAACTTGCGTTCCGACACTGGAGTCCGTACGGTCAACTGTGTTCGTCAGGTTTGATCAGGCTACCTGTGTAAACTCGAAGGGAGCTCCGAATTCATCGAGGATAGAGCCTGGGTACTGGGGAAAATCTTGCAAACTTCGGAGCACAGCTCCGAATTCATTGAGGAAAGAGCCTGGGTACTGGGGGAAATCTTGCAAACTTGAGCACAGCTCCGAATTCATCTGTTCTGTGTGAAAGCAACCTTAGCCGGCACTAACCTTTTTATGTGTTGCGCCTTTTATTATACATAGGCAATAGGACCCGTTTGCGACAACGCTATAAAGTCAAAACAAGAGTACTGGATGAAGTCACTAGACTGAAGAACAATGGGGTTTTCAAAATAATGAAAAAACAATGGAACATCCGATCACTGGATGGCACTGTAAATTGTTATGATAAGTCTCGCAACGAATTCTAACAACTCTCACACTGGTATCAACCTTGTTACAATCTCATAACAACTTGTTACAAACTTGTTACAAGCAGTGTATGAACACATCTTATAATATCGGCTTGATACAACCACCGAACTATGGATACAACTAGTTTCCATATCTTGCACGTGATATTTTACGCGCGTAATAGTAGTATGTCTACTATGACAGCCACCAGTAAACCGATGACGTCACCACTAATCTACGGTCACTCCGATATATAACTGTTAATAAACACTCATATTTAAGAGAACAAATTTCACGTATCCGCTTACCGAACAAAAGTTTGAACGTCTCTACAAATTGGATTATGTTTTCGTGAGGAACTACCATGTGAAATACAACATCAAGAGAATCATGAGCAAGATTTTGGAAGCTTATTTCTTGGCGGGAATTTTCGTTACATTACTCTGTTTTGCCTGCGGTGAGTCAAGCTTTGAATTTGATGATTGGGACATGATTAAATTTGTGCAACCGCAATTAAATATTTCACCACGAAGACAGTGTTTTAAGCATTATTTTAGATCCTTACATATAAAATTGTTAGAATCGTTTCAAATATAAAATATTATTTTTTGACCGCGTTTGTTTGTTAAAATAAAACAGGTTATTTATTTAAGCTTTGGTGCATGTTCACTGAGTAATCACACGGTCTTTAATTTATAAACTAGCCAAACCACTGAAGCATGAAATAATTATAGATTTTAATTGACTTGAAAAAATGTTATATTAATTGTGGATTACTTTTACCTAAATTAAATTGTTTCTTGTAGTTTTTTGGCATAGTTATTACTATTGGAAGGTTTTCAAATTTCAGTTCTGGGTAAATTCGTGCAGCTATGCATGCATGTGTGTTTTGTCTAACTGCATGTTTATATGTTTATCTTATGCCCATCAAACTATTTAGCTAACTATTTAAGCCTATCCAAGGTTGATTTCTTTTACAATTTTGTATTTGCTAGTCGAATAAGTATCTTCGATTCTAGAAAATAGAAAATTGTGGAAGCTTGCTAAATCAAAATTATGTAAAAACACTCAAACAATTATGTAAAGCTCGTGTTTTTTTGACAGTCTCCTATAAAGATGTGTACTTTCAAAATGTTCTTGACTATTTTTATACTTATGTATAAAAAGAAATAAGGCGTTGTCATTTTTCTACATAACAGGAAAACAAAACAGCAAATCCACTGACGTTGGACAACATACAACTGACAAATCTTACAACCGATTACAACATTTGACGGACGATGACTCGCTCATAACAACAGTGGAAAAACCACCTCCTCAACACACTCAACATACTCGCGCTCACCAAGCTAAGGTAACTGATATATTGGTTACGAGCGCTCAAAAAATACCATTAAAATTGAACGAAAACAAGCAACACAGATTTCGGAAAGAGAAACTACGTTTTACCAATAAGGACAGGCAGCTTTTGCAAAAAGTTCGACATTCCAAGAACTGGTTAAGCCGAATCGTTAACAAAAATAACGCCATTTCCAAGAAAGTTATTCGTAGAAAAAGTCGGGACGATGGAACTTACGATGATGAGAAAATTCAAAGCAAAGAAGAAGATGAAGATGAAGACGTTCAGTTGATAATTATTCCGAGAAAGCCACGAAAACATTCACCGCCCAAAGTACAAGACGCGGACGAAAATGATAACGAAGAAATTCAGAAATCCGATGATGAGCACGACGATTCCGAACACAACGACAGAATTTCTGAGAATGCCGAAGATTCTGAAAATTCGAAAGATGATTCCGAAAACTCGGAAAATTCCAGAAAAGATTCCAAGAAACCTTATTTTATGTCCAAGAAATTCCGACAGCGTTTGAAAAATTACAAACATTTTCATAGAAAATCAAAAAGTACAGACGACGACGCAACCTTGACTTTGGAAAGAGTTGCGCCCGAAACTGAAGACGATGACGACGAATCTAAAAATAAGCACCAACCAGATGAAGAGGATTACAACATACATTTGAAAGTTAAAGACAAGAGTGGAACACATGTGAAATTGAGTGGGGATCTTCCTGGAAAAATTGAAAACTTGATGGCTGTTGGAGAAGACGGAGGGGAGGTTCAAATAAAGAACACGCGCAAGAATTCAAAAGCAAAATCTGCAGAGGATTTGAAAATTGTGAATTCACAAGGCGGAGATGATGACTCAACCACGGACGAAATAGCGCAAAATTTACTCAAAATAAAATCAGGAAAACTCAAACACTCTCCTTACCCTTCGACTATCTTATTGAAAACTGATGGAGGTGTGAATGAGAATCCAAAACTAGCTAGCGAAGGGAGTTCAAATCAACGTCCAACGCCTTTGAAAACTCAGGGCAGCAACGAGCCTCAGGCCCTCCCGGCCGACACTCTCACATCATTAACACGCGACGAGGCAAACGCCAAGGCGGGACAACCAGCCAACCAACAGCCGAGTAATAATATTTTTGCACCAATGGAATTCAAGAACGGTGACGATGAATTAATGGCGACAAGTCGATTGTTAGATATCGCACAGAAGGCGGATGATGTTTCGTCGTTGAAGGATGTTAAAGATCCCTCAAATACAGTAAAGGAGCAACCCAAGGAATCGTTAAAAGATTTGACTAAAGGTTAGTTCACAGTGCAAAACAAAATAATCCTTACTGACTAATACCTGGTTTATGCTATTAAAGTTTCTGTGATCACAGTAGGAATTTTACATGGGAACATTCTAAGTTTTGAAGAATTTGTAAGAAATATTTGAGGAAACTGACTTGGTGTTAAACACTGAGTTAGTCCCCTCAAATATTTCTTACAAATCCTTCAAAACTTTACGCTAAATTCTTACTGTGATCACAGTGATGTTGTTAGAGAGTTTGAGCAAGACAACGAAGTACGAAGACGAAGGCATACTTGACAATTTTTGCCGTCTGCACATTATCTTGCGCATACTGAGTTGGACGTCAGTGGTGGTTGCTCAACGTGTCTTCTCATGTGTCGCTGTTTATGAATACTGACCATAATTATTGCACTGATGCATAAAAAAACAGCGAGACATGAAACTATATCCCGTCTTTGTCCTTCTGCCTTCGTGCAGAACGAAGTTCACAACGAATTTTGCCAAATTATTCGTTGTGAACGAAGGCAGAAGAACTAAGACGGGATATGGATTCATGTCTCGCTGTTTTATCCTGATCAGGGTAAGGATTTCGGTCAGCATTCACAAACAGCTAGACCTGAATCTCTAATCTGTCTTCACTCCTGATCCTAAACTCAGAATGCGCAAGGTAATGTGCAAGACAGGCAAAAATTGTCAACCACATCGTCGTCGTCCGACTTCGTTGTCTTGCTCAAACTCTCTATTATGAACCAACCTCGACACTTTACAATATCAAATAACAGATAAGTAAACATGTTTTCCTAAGATTCTCTCATATGAATTGTCTGAAAATTAAAAATATTCCTCAATCTAGTTTCGAAGGCGACTTTTGTTTTAGTAGTTGCACCTAAATCTTTTCAGCCATTCCGGATGTAATATCTCTTTCAATCGTCCTGTAGGCGTCGCAGAGAGGCAAACCTCCAAGGCCTTTTTAAAGTCAGCACCAATGAGTCCCGACGACTACAAGAAACAGTCGGAGGATCTCGACAAAGAATCCGACGACAATTGGTACAAAATGCAGTCGCTAGAAGATCGCGTTGTAAACGAAGGAAGTTCGGCTAAAACTGGCAAAGACGTCGGCTCGTATAACGGCCAGAAAGTTAGCTTGGTTAGTCCAAGTCAACTGCAGTTATTGCAAACGGAATATCCAAGTTATCCGGCGTACCTGACACCTTTACTCAGGACAACAGTTAAGAATGAATAATGCAGGCTTTGTACAAGAAAATTATTTGAAAAACGACTAAAACCCATCGAGCGCCGCGCCAGCGCTCTTCCTTGTCGGAGTAAAATCGTCTGGCGTTATTAGACGGGGTAGAATATTTGTAGGGCGCACTAGGGCGTAATGCACTGGCTTAATGGGTTAAGAATGTTAGACCAAGCCAACAAACTGCACTCAGCGTAAAGGGAAGATGTATGTAAAGATGTATTAACGAATTTACTGAAGCCGTATTACTAGAAATTAAATCCAATAGTGTATCTTTTAGAATAAAGCATCCAAAGATCTCAAATGTACCATACTTTTATTTGGAGTAAAGACAAAATTAAAGATGAAAAAGAAAGCTTTAAATTTTACTGTATCTGGTCTTTTGAAAAGTTGGTTATAGCATGCAAGGACCGCCGAAGTAACTGGGACACCCATGGGTTGATTTTGCAACATACTTTGAATATTTTGGGCAGTAGACCATAGTTTTCGTTTACCGCCTGCCACCATCCCAAAGCAATGTTTTATATGTTCATATATATATATATATATATATATATATATATTCTGAGTGAAGCACGGTGGTCAAGCTTTTAAGAATTTCGTGCATTTTATGTCCTCACTGTCATAAAACGTTTGAAACTGTGGATATTCATACGAAAACAACTAAAGTAAGCAACATAAACATACGTCACCAAACAGACGAACGATTTACCAAGTAACTGAATCAACAAACTCCTCTAAAGTTCTTTTATCCTTTTTATCGCTATTTTATATTAGGAACCAGTCCTCCAATCGTGCTACCTGACCGGACAATCCACGGCACGGAACGTCATCGCTTTGAAATTCACGACCTTACTGATATTTCCGGGGGGAAATGGAAAGCTGTTCATATTCCTGACAAAGATATTTCCTCTATGTTGGAAATAGCCAATCAAAAGAATAGCGGCAAGATGTCATTGGATATTCAGCATGAGACCCCGGGCTCGCCGGAGGACGAAGTCGCCGGGGTTCAAATGCCGAATGAAGTTCACGGTCGCGTTCATGCTTTTGAACACGATTTGATGAACAATAAATCAGAGAATAGCACTGTGGGGAAATTGATCATAGCTACGGATAACGAACACAAGGGGAAAGAGGTGGGGTCACTGCACCCCGTCCACCCCACCGTGATTAAATTGCGAGGCTATATGAAAGAAGAGGAGCCGAAAAATCGCGAGGTGATTCATCGGAAAACCTCCGTCAAGCCTTCGTTAGTTGTCGCCAAGATTCCGGACGACGACGACGGCGACGATTCAGACGATCTTCCTTTACGAAAGCTTCCAACTCCGATCATAGCTCCCTTAAGGAAAACTCGCCCTAGGATCAAACCCGGTTCTATGCGAAGTGATATCCTAGCCGGCGTAATACACCCGGCAGATAAGCCCCGAGTTTTGTTAACCCCTAAATTGACTGTTTCAGATAATCCCAAGAAATCAAGCGTGTCGCAAAACGCAACAGCCACTCACAATGAAGCAAAAAATACTCAAGGAACAGACGACCCTGCGGTGTTAGAGAAAATAAAAAGCCTTTTGTTGAAATCTAGTCCTGGCTCTAAACAGCCTTCAGAGAACATAAATGCGCCAACCAAAACGGAATCACAGGCAACCACCTTTCGAAATACTCAACCTGATACCCAAAACTTGCCTGCAAGCAAGCAGCCAAATAGAGATGGTCTCTTTTTACCGCCGAAATTCGCTCGCCCAAGCGATGCTTTTAGTAACCACGCAACGGTTTTGAATCGAATTTCTGAGCCAAAGCGAGACGCATTATTGATCGGTATTATCAGGGCGCTCCTAGCCCGCGATCGGGTAAAGACATCTAGCGCCAGTCGTACGATGAATGGCGCAGCCGCAGGATTACCGCATTACAACAGGCAGGCAATTTTGCAAGGTCTGCAGAATTTACAAATGAGTAAGACTGTCGGGACTGCGCAAAACGATCCAGCGGTACCCCGGGGAGGCACAGGGAACCCAGCAATGCCTGGCAAGAATCTGGATGAAATATATCAGAAAGAACGCGAGAAGGACGTCAAACAGGAACTTGGTATGTAAAGCCCCCCCCGCACACACACACAGAGGGCACACGCGCGGTTTTCCTTGGCATATGTAGCCTGCGTGGCAGGCGGTATTTCTACAGGCAGCGAAAATTAGGGAGGCAAAGGAATCTCTTGCCACGCAGGCTATGGCATATGTAAATGCTTGTCTGTACGACAAAAATTGACATGGTTTTCTATGCAAAAACGAGCCTCTTATTGTTGGCTCGATGTATACTAGAAATTGTAGTGTAAACACATGGCTTAGTGAGAAGCATTCAGAATAGCGCGATCTACACTGACAAATCTAAATCCCCACATGTGACGGAAAGCTTTTTGCTTCCTTACAAGAGCGATGATGCAAAATACCGCCAGAATTAGTTACACCAATTTTTGGGTAACTTCTGTGTTGACAAAAATGTCGCTTTAAGCTCACTAACACCATTATCCCTTTCTATTTCCATGTAGGGCGAGCCAACGAAGAAGCTCTGGAAGCGAAGAAGATGCGTGTGGACGAAAGACAAATGTTGGCGAACTATAACAGTTTTTTAAACCCGGAGTCTCGTTCGAACTGGGGGAAAGTCGCGGGCATGGGTGGTCCAACACAGAGTCAGACGCCAGACGGTCAGCTTCTTAGCATGTTAGGATCTCCACAACTCAACATGCTGGAAGATAATCCTTCCGAAACGTAGTTCCGATAATGCGCTCCAGAATTTTTGAAATGTTTTGAGACAGCGTGGGAAGAGATGCATGTGTTATATATAGTGTCCTACGCTTACAGGTGCTTGGAGAACCGCCAAGTACGTGAGCGTGGGAGTATGAAGCGCGCGTTATAGTGCGCTGCGTGATTTTCAACACATATGTTCAGGTGTAGCAATCGAATTACATCTATGTATATCTGAAATGTAGAGTGTTGTCTCTGAACTCCTGGAAAAAATTAAAACGAAGATCTTTCCTGAAGAGGTTACCGAGCTTGTCGGAGGCAAACTGTTTCTCCTACTACTGCGTGAAGACGTGCGTCGACTCGAAACGACGAAATTTTTTGCAGGGTGCGATAATAAACATTTCCATTATAGACTAAATTTAAAACTAGGCAAGGAGATGCAAATAAATCACCACAGCTAGAAAGAGCATACTAAAATGAGTAAAATTGCAAAGTTTGGTTGCGAAATGTTGTAAAATGCGGAAAATATAGTCTTGCAAACTTTGCAAATTTTGTATTGCGTGCGGAAATTGCTACCATTTTCGGCCCAAATGTGGTAGCAATTTCCGCACGCAATACAAAAGTATACAAAAATTGCGAACTTTGCAAGGCTATATTTTCCGCATTTTACAACATTTCGCTTTACCAAACTTTGCAATTTTACTCACTTTAGTATGCTCTTTCTAGCTGTGGTGATTTATTTGCATCTTTTCGCCTAGTTTTAAAATTAGTCTATAATGGAATTGTCTGTTCACGTATACTTACGTACCGGAGGTACGCCAATATTACTGTCTGGTACTTCTTTGTTTTCAGTCACGTACCACGTAGGTACGCGGAACTCTTGCTATCTGCGTACTTACTTTTTGTTGATACCACATGACATTTCCAAGTCCAAGGTATTCAATACCGTAATTTAGTTGGTCTGTCATGTGTCTGAGATGTCTTGGCATGAAACATGATTGGACTGATGGAACTAAGAAACGTTGGAGTCGATTGCTTGTATATACAATTGTACTTCTTTTTCTACCTCGTAGTCTGAACATACGTTTCAGATCCTGTACTTTATGAACCTTATTTTATTGACTAAGGGGCGGACCATTAGAAAAGTGATGGCGGGGGGGATTTTAACTATTTTCGCTTGTGTCGATAATTTTTTTAAAATATAATCCCTTGCACCATTTTTTGTTTTATTTCAACTTTTATAATTTTCCCTATTGAAAAGTCTCTGCACGAATGATTTTTTCAAACTTTCTTGCTTCCCCTGCGCGCTTTTTTTCTTGCGCCCCCCCCCCCCATCACTTTTTTAATGGTCCGCCCCTAAGTATACATTGAGTACCGAGTTTGTACTAGCGCAAGTACGCGGCAAGAACCATTGGCGTGCCAGTCTAGTATGACTAAAAATCTTGAATGATCACACTCTGTTTTAACAGCACATACTCTACCAATTTGAGAAAACGCTCACTCGAAAAAATTCCTGACGTTTGGCACAGACGCTGGTTTAAGTCTTTTCGGTTTAATAGGAAAGTTTTTAATAATAAGGTTGAGATTTTAACATCCACTATCGCCACCAATAACCAGTTAGATGTGTTTAATCCGCCTGAGTACATATTTGATTGCTGAATCGGGTCAGTGAGAGATAGCGGTAGTAAAATTTCCATTAATTTCCTTAAAACAGCAAGAACATTTTCAGAAGGTTTTGAAAAAACTTGCTGGCAAAACCACGTTATCTGGTGGAAACGGTAAAAGTATAATTTGATGCCAGTGGACAATTAACAACACAACAGAAATCGATATAAATACAATAGATCAAGACTAAATTAAAACATGCTTTGTTTATATTCTTTGTCTATGGTTACTGTGGTACAACAATTAAACAGGTAAAAGTTGTTTATTTTACAGTACATTGGGTCATGTACGTTGAAATTACATTTTACAAATTAAAATCAAATATTTACTAATTATTTCGAAATAAAATTCTCCTATATCGGCAAAAGCGTACGCGCAGACGCAGCACTCGCGTGCGCAAATAGACTCTACTCCTTATTGCACCAATGGCCTCGTTCCCATGTTTTATCATGACAGGCGCAATTGAAGATAATATCCAATGTTTCCTGTATGAATACGTGACCTTGATCTTGCACACAAACCGCCAGGAAATAACCAACATGAAAACGAGGCCAATGGGGAAAAGCGCAATAAACAGTACATTCTATTAAAGTACTTTCATATATTTACATCCCTTGCAATCATGGTAATGTCTAAAAGGGATGGACTAGAGATAGTTTACAAGATGGTTCCAAAATTGAAATAAGAGTTTGCGTTAATATTAGTACTAGGGTTAGGTTAAGGTAAGGATTAGGGTCAGAGTTGGTGTTTGGAGTAGAGTTAGTGTTAGTAAAACCGTCGCTTTGTTACGTTTTGTCACTTTGAGGCCAGCGAAATAATCTCTTCCATCCCCTTTAGCCACGAACTTGCAATTATAGCGTTATTTTTTAACGCACTTTCATATGTGTTCAGGACGCGTATTTCTGTCTGATTACTACTTTTACTCTTAGTACTAAATAGCTAATAATTGCCAAAAGGTTAGCCCGAGTATCACACTCTATTTTATAAACCAGCATTTATAAGAAATGGAAATACGGTCTGATACTCAGGCTACCAAAACGCACGAGTTTGTATTTGTATGTCGTTTCCGGAACGCTCCACATAATTAACAAAAAATACAGACTAGATGGCTATACAATATTGAACCCATTGTCTATATGTTAGTCCAGGTTTCTTAAAAATATAGTCCTTCCAAGCCTTTTATCTATTAACTACATAGCAAAACTGAACTTATATGTGGTACTGCAAGGGCGTAGGACACCCCTCCCCCCGTTTTACGCTAAGTGCACCTTTTGCCAAATGAAACAGAATGTACCTTTTCTAATGTAAAAATGTGTCTTTAAAACGTAGTGCCAGCACGATGTTGAAAATGCTTCCTAGTATCCTACGCCCTTGATTTAAAACTTTTAACCACAGACTTATCTTGGTTATTGCAGAAATGCGAAATAAAAATCGAGGTAAAATCTGACACAGTTAAGTGCAGTATTTGCCTGAAGCATAGTCGTCAAGATACGATGGTCTAGAAGCCCAGAAATTTTCAAAGCCACAAAATAGAGGACCTTTGTTGTTCGATGTTGAACTGTGCACAAATCCTTTGTTTCAACTTCATTAAATATTATTCATTGTTTCATCTCAGCTATCCCTATTGAGTAATGGACGATTACTTCATTATACAAAAATACAATGAGCTTAATCGCTGTGACCGTACACGATAAAAACATAATACAATGACTTCTGTTTCGTTTTCAGACCTTCAGATCTTGACAGACTATGCCTGAGGTCAACTTTTTAAAACATATGTATTGAACAATAACGCAATTCGATATTAAAATAAAACAAAATAATGTTAAAACAAAAACTAAAAATGTTAAGAATATCACGAGCTTAAAATTAAAACTTTGCATAAAATTGTACAGTTCTTCTGTACAAAATATTAAAATTAAAAAATTATATTTTTCTGTGCTGGTGGTAACAAGAACTGTTGGATATTTAAGACATTCTTGACCTGTTGCTGATTTATTTCGAGTATGTCTTATAAAAGGACCATTATAACCAATGCACTGGTTCATCTTTCTTGAATGGATTGGTTCCCTTACCTTCGGTATTCTGATGTCGATTAGCCAAGCCACTAAAATCATCACCGTTTACTTGAAATGGATTAGTTTGTTTCTGGTCGTTTGACCAAGAGTTAGTTTGTTGTACTTGATTAGGATTATTTCGATTTGTCATAAGTAGGCCTGCCGAGGTTCCCGACCATTGCATCATTGCACCGATGCCACCATTATTCATAGTATGAGAGGCTGTGGTATTATTTGCAGTATTAGGCACAGCAGGGGCAGGGTCATTCATGGAAAGTAATGTATCGATATCTGTTGGTTTATTCTGGGCTGGCTCTTCAGGGGGTAACTTTGGTACAACAGACTCGTCCGCAAGCACTTCATATTTGCCCGGTCGTAACGGCTGGAGCGAGAGAGGTTGAGAACGATATCTTAGGGAGGTGTGACGTGTGAATGGGTTAGGGGTGGCACCTTGTGGGCGTGGTCGGGATTGCAGGTGTAATTTCTTCTCTTTCTTCCTGATTGGTTCGGCTTGAGGAGGTTCTAGTGCTGCCGAGGTTGCTGCCGAGGGCGCTGCCAAGGGAGCTGCCGCAGCATTGGAGTGTGTCGGACTCGAGCTGATGCTTGGCTGCGGACTTCCTTGGTTGCTGGATACAGAAGGGGTACTAGGGGCTTTACTGGGATCAATCGAGCTTGTACTTGGTTTGCTTTCCGTATCTTGTTGCGACGTCTCAGATACAGCCTTGTCTTTGTTTGATGGCAATCTCATACTTGCTTGTCTCTGCAAAAACATTTTAAAATAGTTTAACTCATTAACCCTTGATACACCAGGAGTTACATTACTCACAGTTACAAAAGCATTGGCAGTAACTTGTAAATAACTGTCCTCAAGTAAGTAAAACCAACATATAGTAACATAAACAGCTTTTCTCACCTCTAAATGTTGTTCCTTCAATGCAACCTGCTTTTGTTTCCTCTGCAGGCAAGCTGTGAATGCACAACCCACAGCGTGACTCAACCTTTCTCCCTAGAATAAAATTAAAATACAAACACCTTATTTATACATGTACACATAACTGTTTTAGTCTTGTAAACATTTTCTAATAAAAGCCATTGGAAATTTATTGTTTTGAAGCATTAGTCGATAACATTTTATGTCAGCTACGACATTGTTTTAGTAATATGCGATAATTGACAATAAAATAGAACATATTAAATACAAATATTTGTATATGCAAAACAAGGGTTTGGTTACAAAACAAGTTATGTTTCACACAACATTAATAAAATATCTTGACACATACCGTATCACGTCTTGCGCTGAAACACTGACACATCCACCTGCGAGATGTGCCATCTCTGCTGATGTAACAAAATAATTTCTCGTTATACGGATCCGGTGTGCAGAATGACACTTTTTCAATGGTTTGATCTATAACCAGTTGCTACAAAACAACACACAATTTATTTCTTTTCATCCAGAGACTTTTTGTAATTCCAAATCCTACAATTTGTCTACCATGCATCTGGCTGTTGCATTCAACAAAACCTATTCTTAACCTTTGTAAGGTGGAAGCATTGATATTTCCGATTAACTCAGTGTTAGAGTAAAATAGTCTGGCATTAGACAGAGTAAAGCAGTGACGTAGGTTAACCTTGGTTAACCAATCGAGTCCCTTGACAAGTAAAATAATCTGGCATTAAACAGAGTAAAATAATAAATTAGGGTGCATTGATGAATTTAATGCCTCTTGGTAGACTGAGCTAACTTGGGTACCTAGCTTCACAATTGGGTTCATTTGGTATATTCCCACCCTACCATCCACGGAGTTCCCCCCACACCCAATTTTAATATATATGGTATTACAACACTTAGTCACATGCGCTATTTATGGACACCCCCTTGAGGAACAATAACAATGTATGGACTCCAATGGATGCATTTATTAAATAAAACACATTAAGATACTGCCCAGTTTGAGTCTAATCAAAAAAACATCACAATTTTAACATTGCTTCGCATGTTTACAAAATTAAGAAGTCCTAAAAAACCCGAATTTTCCCATTATTCCATGCCAAAATTATGATTAAATAATATATTACAAACAGGCTTTCACCGGCGCACAGGATTTAATATTACGTGTTTTAAAAGCAGACTGAAATGTTTACGAATTTTGAGAGGAACAGTAAACAACGATCTGAATATCCTTCTTTTTTCATTAAAGCTACTTTAAAGACGTCCGTTATCAAAATTAAACAAGAAACTTTGTCTTTGGGCACACCGAAATCTCCCAAGCGTAAAAACTTCATTCAAAATATTGATAAAATCGTTCTACTACATCGCAAATGTATTTGCCATTTGCGAATTAGAGCAAGAGTAATTTTAACTTGAGTAATATCATAGATAAAATCGGCTCGAAACTGGGTAATATTTAGCTAGTTAAATGTGTCAAAAAGCCACAAATACTGCCTACTTTATGTTACAAACGGAACAGATATCAACTAGTCGATTGTTGGATCAAACGAAATATTTCAACAGTATAAACAAATGTGGCAGCAGGCTACTGTAAATATTATTTTTTTCTCAAACCTTGGTTTTATCGTCAACGACTCTGATACAGTCCTCGGTAACTAGCAGGGTCATTTTTCGGCTTCGTCGTCGTTTCTAGATAAATATAAAGAACATAAATGTGAAGTTTTTATAAAGCCTAGAATCAGGAACAATATCCTTGTCATTCCAACCAAATGTCGCACGCACAACAGTCGCGATATTTAGGTAATTGTATCTTGTTAAAATCTAGAAATTTCTTCATACGCAACACAAATATATGTGAGAAAATGATTGTATATTTTTACACCTATTCACCAGATAGAGAATGTTGGCAACTCACATTCTTTTTTAGAATTTTTGCTGCTTCACTGCATATCTGTGTGCCACGCGATTCAGCAACTTCTTGTGCCCCCAGATACTGTAGTTTGGAAGACAAAACAACACTATTAAACGCCCGTTAAACTCCTCATAAAATCGAAAATAAAAGCAGTAAAAGCTTTAGGAAGGCTTAAGATTCCTTAAGAAGCATATAAATGCAAATACAAACGAATATTCGTACCTTAACAGGAAAACTAAGTCCGCCTGACTTAACTTTATGGCCGTCGCTTTCCCATTGGTGTGGACGGCAACTTTCGGGGACGTGTCTTTGCGATCGGCGAAAACTGATAGCACGGCGAAATCGTTGCATCCTACTACTCATCTGAAAGCTTTTCCACAAAGATTTTGAAGTAAAAATTCGCCCAGGAAACACCCGAAATCTCTACACAACACAACCAACTTTTCGTAAAATCGATATTCGAACGGAAGCTTGTTGATTTGAATCGTTTTATCCGTTTGGGAGTATGGGAATGACTCGGCATCATCCGATTCACGCCCGATGATGACGTCATATCACATACGTACGCAATTTATGCGAATTTTTCAAGAATTTTCGTGAATATGCTATTTATGTTGCGCTAAATAACACATGATGAAAATTATTATTATGTCATTTCTTAGAATTAAAAGACATTTGGTATTCAAGAATTAACGTTGCGGACATCGTCATTTGTACCGCGGTTTTGCGGTTAATTTATATTAGGTAATGGTTAATACTTTTCATGTAATGCCGTTTCTTGGCCAGCTGAGAATTATCTGACCGCAAAATAATTAATTCCGTAACCTTGGTTTACTATTTACAGACGCTCCTCGGTCCATTCCCCTACTAAACTAAACTTCATTTATGAGCTCAATAACTGTACTCCCCTGAGGACCAGTAAACATCATTTGTCCCAATGTTACTGTATAAGAGGAAGCATGAAAAAGCAAAGTTCCCGGGAAAACCTGCCGTGAAATTTGCATCTGTGATCACAGTAGGAATTTTTCGTAGGTAAATTCTAAATTTTGAAGGATTTCTAAGAAGTGTTAAACACTGAATCGGTTTCCTTAAACATTTCTTACAAATTCTTCAAAACGTAGAAAATTTACCGATGCAAAATTCCTACTGTGATCACAGAAACTTTGATAGTGTAAACCAGCCTTTGCATATACGTACAAATATATTTCTCACATGTGATTGAGCGAAATTATAATCTAAGAACTGAATATTGCAGGATTCGAATCGCAGTGAGAGAGGTGAGGTGAAAGGCACAGGCATTGTATGACGAATACCCTTAGTTACCCTTATATTAAAGAAAATTTTATATTTCTGCAAACAAACACACCCTGAACAATTATAGAAGTATTTTAAATATACATATACAAACTATTAATTCTCCATATAAATTATACTATGTACAAAATTTCAATTTATCTCATTTCGTCGCGCAAATAGGTCAGCCAAGCTCCGACAATACAAGAAGAACAAAATGTCATAAAAACTGTCGACGAATAGTTAGGGGGAGTCATGAGAAGTAGGCCCTTTGTAGTGACCTAAAAATAGTAGTGACTCGAGAGCTGTGGGATTTGTAAACAAAGCAGTAAGATAAAGCACTTTCAGATCAGCTACAAAGGGCCTCTTGATTCTGACGTGTGTCATGTGTCCCTTATGAATAGTATGTGACTTAAGTTCTTTGTAGGTTTGCATGGCGATAAAACAAATAATACTATTGTTTGTGGAAACACCACGTAAATTTATTACTGCAAAGCTTTCGAATTTTACGTGGTGTTTCCACAAACATTAGTGTGTGACTTATCTTACCTACGCTCTTTCTACCCAACCACCGTAAAGTCCTTCGCCTGTTTGTTTAGAAACAGCAAAACTATGAATTGCGAGAAGACTATTATTTCTGCGTGGGTCGGTCATCTTGGAGCAAGACTAGTCTGCGTTTCAGTCCACTAGCAAGACTAAAGCCCCGCTTACACTACGCTCGGTACCGAACCGCTTTTTTGGTTCTTGGACCAAGAACCAAAAAAACACTTTTTTGGTTCTTGAACTACCTAAATGGGTAGTCCAAGAACCAAAAAAGTGGTACGGGTACCAATTTTATCCGTGCCGTACCAAAAATTGAGCGTAGTGTAAACGGGGCTTAACTTTCCAATCCTAATTATCATCATTTGGATTGTTCCTGTCTGTCAGTCTTTCAAGTTCAGAATCGACAGCTTCCTCGCGTTTATCTTTGATGTAGCTCGTGGCCTTATACCCAATCACACCTCCACCTACCGCTGTCAGCACTGTGGCTGCTTTAAAGCCCGCCAACAAACCCACCGGCCCTCCTACCACACCGCCCACAACCGCACCGATAACTGGAAGAATCATTCCTTGTAACTTCGCCGCCTGTGTGAAGATAAATGATGAGAAATGTGCTATCACGACGCCATCTTGATGGTTCTATCAACAACCTAATAATAAAACATTGTCATGCTACTTACTCTGCCGAGTTCCTGTGTCGCGTCGTGAATATTCACCTGAGCGTGTTCAATATTTGTCTCGATCGAATCTACAGCTGACTGTTGTTCCTGTCAAAAATAGCATTAAAATTAGGGCTTCAGTAAAGGCATAGTAAAGGTGCTACCCTACGTATAGGGTGCACCGGAACTCTGTCTTCATTAGGAAAAAGAATATAAAGTTAATTTACTGATGAACATTACTCATTAGCTAATTGAACACGGACCAAATATTTTAACACATCACATTACGCACATTATTTTACACATATATTCCAACTTTTTAAGGTTGGCAGTCGACAAATCAACTTCTATAATCATACACGGTTGAATAAACTCAGTTCCGGTTCCAATCGGATATTTTTCGCAGATCCGGAATTCTGGTCGATTAACGGATTGGTTAACACATTACGTCATTGATGGATGTATATTTATTGATGTATGTGGTTAACACTTACATGTACCAAATGAGAGAATTCGTGGATGACGTCATTTAGCTCAACTAAACTCTAGAAAAACAAAGCAGATTTATAATATATACAATCCATATTACCGCTAAGGTAACCAAGTTGATAAGTTTACAATATCATCAAATACAAACTTACTTTCTGTAGATCGTCCCAGGAATGTACAGTAGCTTCGTCAGGAGTAATTTCTTGATTCAAAAGTTTACCTAAAGAAAGATATTTATTGAATTCATTACATACACATAATCAACTTAGATACACATATACATAATCATTACATACACATAATCAACTTAGATACACATATACATAATCATTACATACACATAATCAACTTAGATATACATATACATAATCATTACATACACATAATCAACTTAGATACACATATACATAATCATTACATACACATAATCAACAACAACAATTTTGTCATTTTGTTTTTCCAAATTTTGAAAATTTTATGCTCTCTCTACTTCGGATAAAAAGGATTATACTATACTCTTGTTTGATATTTAAATTATAAGTTGTGAAGTTTTGTATAATGATGTTTTGTAGCAGGTCACTAACGTAATTGGCTCACGCTGTGTTAGTGTTCCTGAACCGTCTTCCTGTTTGTATATGTTTATAATTCTGTTGACGGCTGAAGTAAATTAACTTATTCTCAAATATCAAATATTACTTCAAAAGTGGGGCTGACCCCATATACGATTTTTTGCATGTGTAATATTTGGTTCATTCAAGAAGAAATGTAATATAGAGCTTTTGCATTCATTCCCCAGGGACCAACTCAACAAAAGCCATGGCGGCCATGTTGGTGTTCTAGACAAAAGAGTCTAATTAAAATTTTTTTGAATTGGAACACCAACATGGCGGCTGTGACGTCATGTGCAAACGCTCTATGTACTATTTAAAACACGAGTAGGAGTGTTTTATCAGATATAAAACGCGAGGCGCAGCCGAGCGTTTTATATCTGATAAAACACGACAACGAGTGTTTTGAATAGCTTAAAATACGACTACAAAAGAATACTAATTAGGATGAACAATTATATAATGCCACATGTGTTTTCTGCAGATATAAAGTCACTCCACGTGACATATTATGACTGACTTGATTTGCCACAAGGTTTATGAATTATTAATGAGTATTTTAAATCTTTATAAGAAACCTCATCTTGATCAACTTTTCACTGTTGAAGTTTCTGGACATGATGTCATAAATGAATTTTTGGAGCGAAGGAAAACTAATTTGCTATTCATGTAATGACATTATACATTGATGAAAATGACGTATTTTAGTATAAAGATGTACTACATTTCTTCTTGGGATGACCCAAATATTACACATATAAAAAATCATGCATGGGATTAATCGCATTTTCAGACCTGGAAAAAGTGTTCAATGTTTCTCGGATCCTGAATTTGTCTTTTTCAAATGTTCCTCGATTATATTGGTTGTAAAATTGCTGAGGAAACAAAACAATCTTCAAATTCTATTAACAGGATATGAAGAACACCTTGTAATCTCAAAATAGACTCAAATGGTAGATAATATTACTTATGTTCCTCAGGATCCAGGATCCCGAGATCCCACTTTTTCCAAGTCTGCGCACTTTAAAACTAACCATGCATCTCTATTCCCATTCTGTCATTTTCATTGACATTTTTTTCAGCAGTGACGTGAGGAGCAGCAGGTTTGTATTTTGTTTGAAATTTCATAAACGAATCAATGGCGGCCGATGCTTTGTCGTACGAGGGACCAACACGTCTGTCGAACTCCGCCAGTCCATTCACGGGAACTTGTTTTCTTGTCGTTTCCATATCTTCAATGCTCTTTTTCAAATGCTACGGAAATATGCAAAATTTAACGAGTTTGACAACGATGATATGTCATGCCTGCGGTACAATTTCGCCTCGGAAAAATGTGAGTGTTTACAAGCAGTTGCGCTATAGGCCCTCTGGGGCGTAGCGAACGGGGGGTGCCCCCCCCCCAACTGTGAAACTCAGGTGAAATTAAAGTTAAAATTTTCACATTTTCAGGTAAAATTTGCGTAATAAAGTCGTTATTTTTGTGAAATGGTAACCATTTTTCTACAATACAGTCAATTTAGATCCAATTCGCCTGCGAATTTGTATTAGAAAACGCCAGAAATGCAGCCCTGGAGCCTCAAAAATGTAAATTCTTCTAGAAACTTAGTATTACAGTGGGGATCAATCACAACAAGCTTTATTCTAATTATTACACTTCAGGTAAATTTTTAACATCGAAATTAAAATTTCAGGTAAAATCCTCCAATGTCGCCCCCCCCCCCCAACTTCAGGTGTTTCGCTACGTCCCTGACTGAGCTACAGAGTCCAGTCGTCGAGCTCTAACCGCACGTTCGTGTATATTATATACTAAGGAGTTGCCAAAGTAATTTCCACACCTGGACAGTTATTCCAGCGTTGACTTGCTCCGCGTTTAATTCGCGCCATAGTCTTTCTTCGTAATACTATAAACACACATAAACGGTGAAGAGTCAAAAAGCAT